ATATTTGGCGCAACGCATCATAGGAGATCGTCCACTGCGCAGAACCAGGAGGACCAGACGATGCCCAAATATGGACGAGTTCAGCAAATCTTTCAGTCTTCGTGAAGTCCCATGCGCTACTGAGCACACGCCATTCATTTGAATAGGGCGCCATCTTGGATCACCGGGGCTTGGTCAGAATGTGTTCCCCACTATTTCAGAAGGACAGGTGTAGGCTAATATCTCTTTTAGACTATAACCCCCAAGCTAACGTTACCTCAGGCTAAACATATCGGTTGGAAGCCTATTCATGTTGTAGGATAGCAAGAACTTTGTCAATTACTTTTGGCTGTAAGTGCAGCACATCGTCTGTCACTGATGTCTCTTTTGCAGACCGGGCAGTCATCTCTGCAGTAACCAAACTGTTTACTTATCATTTCCAACCTGGCATGTTATTGTCAGCAGCGATACGGACACACACACCGTCACAGAGCAGTAGACTTCTCTGATAACGTGCGTGCGCAAGAAAACACAGGAGCAACAGTGCTATTTCCCGTAGCCTAAAGTCTTAGTGTTATATTAAAACACTGTAATGTTTGAGAAAATAAAGCCTTGTCGAGCACACAATTCACACAAGAACATTCCGGACCTTAAAAACACCTAATTGAAATTCAAGCATTTTCCGACGTTCAAGGAACTGTACAAACCCTGCTCTGCGTTGCTGCAACGCGCCGCCGTGTTCCAAACCTGTGGTCCATGTACAAAAGTGATACTTCCGGATCTCGTCATAATAACAGTTTTGTGTGTGAGACGTTTTAATACTTCCATTATAAACCTCCTGCTTCTTTTGACACTGCTGTGTGTGAGCGCCCCCTGCTGGAGACACCCAGTGTCACTCTCACAACATAAACATGTTTTATTATTTCTGCCAGTCACACTGTTCTACCATCATCAGTGCATTCCAGCGTCTGAACCAAGTCTAAACCGGGTCTGAACTGTGCTTGTAATTGTGCTTTCTTAGTTAAGAGGAAAAGCGGCGTCTACCTCTAACAGCTCCTCCGTCTAAAACCGTTTAAAAATCCTACTTTTATTGAGAGTAAAATACAAGTTTGTTCTGAGCCTGATATCCATGTGTTCACGCTCCAAAGCGCTGTGGAGACTTCAGATATGAAGATCAGTGTTTTTCTACTGCGTTAAAGTCTTTTTGCGAAGGCACGACCCTCCAACCTAAAGATTACAGATTAAACTGCCCTTATTCCAAACAGTTTTCAAAGTTCTGCTCCGTAAGAGTTCGTACTCAAACCATGTGGAAAAGCAGTTCCAAAAGACAAAGGTAGTCACATGTCTCCACGATTCCTCAATGTACATTCAGTGCAGACACAAGTATTATTTATAATCCCAAAATTCCAGGCTTTTTTTTTTTGCGTTTCCGATTATGTCACAACCTGAACAGCGGAAATATTCGAGTTTTACCTCAAAAAAAGATTTTGAAAAGCTCTAATAATGATTGATGAATGGGATTAAGGGCAATCTCCAAACACATCTATACCCAAACTGAACCGAGCCTAAAGAAATACCAGTGTACAGCGGAACAATAAATAAATAAATAAATAAACTCCGGCTTTGGTTCAGGTTCTTGGAGTCAAATGGTTTGAGATTTGTCCTTGTAAAGTGAAATGTGGTATTGCTTGGATGCGTTTTTGCAGCATTCGGGCGTTTGTCCTGAGGCCGTTTGAGCCCTTCCTTTGTGCAGCTGATAAAACCTCTTATTATATTTTAACTTATTATTATTGCTTTAAATGTGGGTTTTTGTGGCTGAAGGACTCATGCGCGCAGTGGGATGGGAACACGCAAGATGGCCGCCTCCTCACAAATGGCCGCCTCCTCAAAAACGGCTGCCAAGTGAAAAGTACAAAAGCCGCGCCGTTTTTAAAGTGAAAATTCTTGTGTTTTCTAAAATATTGTTAGGGTTTGGGTTAGTTAAGTCAAGTTTATGAAGCTTAGAATTATGTTTAAAGGTACACTGTGTAGTTTTCACTCCCACCTGACATTGAGCAGTGGCATAGAAAAGGGCAGCACAGCTAATGAAGGGCGCCAGGACCTACTTCAAAGGTTCCTTTAAATTAACTAAATGGTTAAAAGCCAGCAACCAAACAGTGCGCAAGTTACATATAACCTTTGACAATTAGAAGTACACATTGACTTAAAAACGTAATTAAATGTTCAGTGCTTTTTTTCTTGTATGGGCATTCAAGCCTCACTCATGGTTCACATCAACTTGATATCCCATGAGCCTTTGTGTTTACAGCGTCAGTTTGAGGCATTAAAGCTGGACTACCTCCCTTTATTTTTGTTTTCATTAGGAAAATCCAATTCATAATCATGCAGTGCATTGGGATATACGTCGTTTTGAAGAATAAGTAGCGCTTTATTTTAGGTAGAATTTTTGGGCAACGCGGAAGATAGTTTATTTCGGGACTAGATTTTGACCAATCACAGCGGACCATTGGCCCCTACTTTCTTGAGAAAATCTAAAGGTCTTGTCAGCGCGCACAGACAGCTGAGGTAGACGAGCAAACCTGAAACTTCCTGTGTCTTCGTTACCTGTTACTGCTTGTACAACAAAACAGCCGTCCAAAAGTAAGTCCCTATAAGAATAAGATATATAAGAGAGAGACCAAGCGTTTGAAGGACCGGGAGACAAGAATTCGGGAAGCACCGCTGACGAGACTACTTAAGCTCTGAGGCACGCAATCAAATGAGGAACCACATTTCCATTTGTTTTTGGGCCAAAACAAGAGACGTTTTCAGCTCCGTAAACAACAGCACACAAGCATGCGCTCCACTCGGGGGGAGGTGCTGGTTCTAGCTCAAATGAAGCACTGACCGTGAATTGCGCAGCGATGGGGCCCATAGAGGGCTTTTGACACGTGTGCTGTCATTTGTTTGTTAGCATTTTGGTTGTAGAAGGACTAGATTTATGCTTCAATCATATGGGCTGAGATGGCGTGAGTTGTCGGGAGGGGAGGGCCCAATCTCAGATTTGCACCAGGGGCTGGCACGACTACCCTACGCCGCTGGTGTTGAAATCATATAGCAGTTTACTCTCTTCCAGCAACACTATGATAGCTTCGACGGACAATATGTCTTTGACTGTGGTCCCCAACTAACCTGGCAAGAGCCAGATTGATGATTGTGTAGAACTCTAACGCGTTCTCCGCGATATCAATCTGGGATTTCTCACGGAGAATCCTTTCGGGGAAAGGAGGGATAAGCAGCAGAATACTTGAAGCTGATTGGGCGAAGTGACGCTGTGTGCCCGCCTACCAAGGTTTGACTTACGTAGGTAAAAATGCACAAACATCTTTGCCGTCCAGAAATGCACAAAGCGCCTCTCGCTGTTCATCTTTCAAAAAAGAAATTGGATATTCTGCTAAAACTGACTTGATAGCCTCAGCTACGCGTCCGTCCTCCTGCGTAGCCATGTTTGTTTTGCTTCGGCCCGGCACTTCTTGCTTTCGTCAAACCCGGATATCCCGCCCTAAACCCCCAGACTGGCGCGTGATTGGCTCGCACACCCAGTGGTTCGACTCGAAAAGTGTAAGCGGGAGCGGTACAAGATGTATTCTCGAGTGTTTGTGAACTCACAAATACCGCGAGAATTCAGCTTGCAGGCAAGGTTAGTCCCCAACTACAGGTCATTCAAACCTGGTCGTCAACGAAAGAATCCTTTAGTTTGATAAATGACCGGATCTCTCCATACGTCTTGGTCACTTGACACAGTAGTGCTGACATGTAAACAGTGTTCTGAAGCTGCACACACGCGCTGCTCAGAGGTCCTAATTAAGTTTTACAAACGAGTGTGAACAAAAGTGACGCTTGGAGTTATGGGACATTTTAAAACCACAATGATTGCGACAAAACTGTGGCTAAAAGCTCAGCTTTTTATTAGCTTTCACCACGACGCAGCAGCCGCATCACAGTAAGAAAACAGAACATTCAAACTCAAGCTGTTGATAAATGATATTCTGGCGATTTTTTTGAATGGAATTTTGTGTTTTTTGTAGCTTGTCCCCTGAATAAGTTTGGTTGAAACCTATACATAGTACATACTACGCTAAAAAGCGGGTGAGAACATCCCAAGACCTGTGTTGCAGATTCTACCTCGTTCTCATTATTGTCGTGTGAAGAAAGTTACGTATTGTTCACATGTGAGTGTTGTGCACAAACTTGTTTTAACTCGGTACATGTGTTTGCAATGTTGACAGTTTGCTGTTATGATGCCGTTTCTAGATTTTAGCGTACTTCTTTTTCTAAAAGATTTGTGTTTGGGTGGTTCTTTTACATAACTGTCCTCCATGATCCGTTCTTCAAACTTGAGAGGGTACGGTGGAAGCAACAATATTAGTTCACAGTAGCCTGTGAAGCGAAAACGCAATTTTCGCATTCTTTTTTTCCCTTTTCAACCAATTTTATTTCAAGATGGTGCATTGTAAGGGAAAGGACTCCAGCTCTCATGTACATTTATAGGTAAAATTCTCAGCCTTTGACAAGAAATATTCTCTAAAAGGTCACATTTGTTATTGGTTAAAACGTTTTTTCATTTGGAGCAACTGTAAAGATTACACAGAGTACCTTTAAGCTAGGTAAATTGAAGCCATCAATTCAACTTCATATGTTTCCAGTGCGATTGATGCGGCGACGGCTTTATTATGAAACACTAGTGGATATTAGGGCTGCGCGATTTTCACAACCTGCCATTATTTAAGTCCTGTACAAAACACTGCACTTAAAGGCCAGGAAATCTTGATGTTATTCAGAAAACCGCACAGCCGTAGTGCGGAGATAATAACATTAATAAGTGACGCGTCTAAAGGGAGTCTGCGCAAGTTTCCTGAGTCAAACGTGTGCTTTCCAATATTTTACAATTTCTCTATAAAGCTCAAACCTCTGACATCTTTCGTTTAGTTAAATTGAGGTAAAACTCGAGAGATGTTTCCGTGCCGGAGTTTTGTCCGTGACTAAGGTCCGTTTCCCTGATTCGTTACAGCGGTGGCCATATTGAGCCTGTCCTCCATTTTGTGCTCTGGGTCAGACGAAGACTGTAAGTTCACCGCGGCGGGTAATACGTCACTGGCAGGTGCGGCTTCTGCAATATCCAACGTGTCGGTGTCCGGAGACAAAAACATGGCGGCAGGTGAAGAAGTGTTATTGGCTTTTGATGTGTTGTTGATGAAGGCAGCCGTGTCATTAGCTGCGCAGTAAGAGAAACTGCTGACCGATGCTAATGCGGTGTCATCCCCAGGCGCACCGTTAGCTGAGTCCAGGCTTGCGGTCACTCCTTCGGTCTGGCTTATTGCTGTAACTGCATTTGTAGCCTCCGCCACGGCTGCCCTGCACATATTGTTAGCGGAGACAAGGCTCGCAGTCCCTCCTCCAGTTGAGCTTATTGCTGTGACGGTGCTCGTGGCCTCCTCCTCAGCCGCGGCTGCCCTGGTCACGCTGTCGTACGAGGGCGGAGACGAGATGAGGCCCGTGGACACAGTTTCCGAACGCTCCATGGCAAACAGTCCGGCTGCGTAGTTCTCCCGCATCATGGCGGCAATGAGCCCCTCCCGCTCGGGTGCATCGTCCCCGAAGAGGGCGGAGTCTGGCATGCTGTCTTGATGGGGCGTGGCAATCTGGCGGTACAAGTAGGAAGCGGCCTTCATTTGCCGGCGCACCAGGTGGCGGCGGTAACAGCGCTGGATCACTCTGGCGGAGACCTGAGGGAGAGGATCAGACATTACCAGACACCATGATGGTATTCTCTTGTTCATATATCTGATGGTCGACCGTTCAATGACCTCCAACAAACATAAGAGATCTTTGAAGGGTGGATCATCTCAATCATCTCACCTTATCTTGTTTTTGCCTCTCTCTAGTCCCTCTATGGTCTCTGTCTAGTCTCTCTGTTCTCTATCTGGTCTCTCTCTCTCTAGTCTTATTTTACTTTTACCTGCTTTTGTCTTGACCTGATGCTTTTTAGATCTCACCTCTTCCTGTTTTCTCCGTAGAGTAGTCGTGATGGGTTCATAGGAGATCTTGGAAGGGTTGGCCATCATAAACTTCTCTTCCATCTGCTGCTTGAGCGCGTCCATCTCTCCAGACTCGCCCAGAACCCGTTTTGTGAAGGCGAAGAGGATGTCTAGGCAGTGGATCTTGTCCCCGCTGACCATGGGCAGGTCCATAGAGATTAGCTTGATCTTGTTGGGCTTTCCAATGCGTAGGGGCTCTGACAGCGAGTCGGCAAAGTCTGAGAGCTTGGAGTACTCGATGAACTGTGTGGCCTCCGGGTCCAGCTTCTCCCAGACCTCGTAAAACATCTCAAAGTCGTCCTCGCTAAGCGGTTCTGTGCTCTCCTCCGTAGCCACGCTGAAGTTCTCCAGGATGATAGCAATGTACATGTTGACAACGATGAGGAAAGAGATTATGATGTAGGTGACGAAGAAGGTGATGCCCACAGACGGGTTCCCACAGTTCCCCTTAACACTCGTGCCCGTGTGCGGAAGGTTTGGGTTGCACTCCTGCAGATGAAATCAAATCTAGTTACTTTTGTGTAGCCCTGAGCAAATCAAAGCTTTAAAGCTGAATTACTTAACTTTCTGTAATAAACCCATGTCTCTAGTTCTAGGCTCAAAAACAGTTTCTATCACTAGTTTTCATGTATTTTTAAAATACTCTTTTAAGGTCTCTACTTTCCCTCCAGTCTCTCGCTGGTATCTCTTTCTGGTTTATCTCGCTGGTATCTCTCTCTGCTGTCTCTCTCTGGTGTCTTTTCTGGTTTCTTTCTGGCCTACCTGGGGGGAGTTGTTGAGGATGGGTCCCAGCAGGCCATCCCAGCCCGCTGACGTGGTGATCTGGAAAAGACACAGCATGCTGTTGCCAAAGGTCTCAAAGTTGAACATGTCGTCGATCCCGTTCTGCCGCTTGACGTAGGCAAAGTTGGCCATGCCGAAGATGGCATAGATGAACATGACGAGGAAAAGAAGAAGACCAATGTTGAAGAGCGCAGGTAGTGACATCATCAGGGCAAACAGCAGCGTGCGGATGCCTTTAGCACCGCGGATCAGGCGTAGGATGCGGCCGATGCGAGCCAAACGAATCACTCGAAACAGCGTGGGCGAGACAAAGTACTTCTCGATGATATCGGCCAGAACGATGCCTGCACAGAGAGAACATGCAAATGTGTGGGACATCAAAAGAGACACTCGGGAGTTGTTTTTAGATTCATCCATGCTAATATTAGGAAATAGGAAGACCAGAGAGTTTTTATTTACATACGATACATTTGCAGAACATTAACATGAGGGTTAGGGTTTTAATACCACTAATGTAGAGCTTCCCAAAGTGGTGTCCAGGTCCGGCCCATAGACGCACTGCAGGGGGCTCTAAAGGTTGGTAACACATCTGTCCTTTGATTTACATAGATAGATAGATAGATACTTTTGATCCACTCGGAGAAATTCAGGTGTCCAGTAGCAGCAAAAACACATCCATCCAAACAAACAAAACAAATACATTGATTATTCTAAAAAGTAGTAATAATACAATAGTAATAATAAAACGAAACAGCACTTCAGGTAACAGCAGCAGAGGTGGAGTAGTCGCTTGGTTCTGACCATTTTCTCTGCTCTAGTCCAAAGTAAAACGCTTCAAAAAACGTTCAAAAAGTTAGCATTCCTCCAGTGGATTTTTGCCTGATCCACCTGTTATGGACCATAAATCCTCTCCGCTCCGATCTGGACCAGTGCAAAACCGTGAACACTGTACTGCAGTAGCATCTCAGGTGGAAAAAAACCCAAAGAAAAATAACATTCGTAAAACACAAAACAACTTTTTCAGATCTACTTAGGACTTGCTGCCATTTCCAGCGCATTAAAAATTAAAAAAGCTTAGAAATCGTTTGTTTCTTTCATACAAAGTGCAGTTTGATATTGGGGTGGGGCCGGGGGATTGCTTTCTCAGCAAGGGGAGGCCACAGTCCAGACTTTGGGAAACGCAATACACGAGGAGTGGACACACTTAAGCTGTAATGCCCTTTGCTACCACCAGGAGGAGCTGTTTCACCAGGTCAGAAATCAGCTCCTCAGCTCATGAAGACTACCCCCTCTCTCCCGACAGACCTACCCCTCTTATGTCCCAGCCTCAGCTCTTGATGAACATATCTCGCCTCTCTCCCCTCCTTCAGACCCCCCCACACACTCAGACCCCCCCCCCCCCCCCATGATGAACGTCTTTATCGCTTCATAACTCAGTTCAGTGTCACACATGAGTTACAGCAGCAGACTGCGTTTCCCACAATGCAACAGTCTCTCTGCACAGAGACATCACAGCTGCTCCCACGTCAGACCAGATAATATCATAGACTTAAAATACAATCTATAGTTGAGTTAATTTGAACTGCTCGTTCTTTTATTGATACAACTTTAAAACTGTATAATATTAAATATGAGTTCAATGATAACAATCTGAAAATAATGTTTTGAAAATGGCCCAAAGCAAAACTAAACCAGGACTAAAGCAGGTCTAAAGCAGGACTAAAGAATGTTTTAAACAGGACTGAAACGAGACTAAAGCAAGGACCAAACCAGGACTGAACCAGGACTAGACTAGTATTTGGTCAGACCCTCAGGGGTGACATAAGGGTGAAGGCTGCTGTGGTGATCAGTGCTGCCCCCTGGGACTTATGGTCAGTAAATCATCTCAGACACAAGAGACCAGACTGAACCTGGACTGAACCAAGATTGAAACAGGACTGAACCAGGTCTGTCCCAGGTCAGACCAGAGAGAGACCAGATAGAGGGACCAGAGAGAGAGAGAGAGAGAGAGAGAGAGAGAGAGCAGAAAAACAGACCAGAGAGAGGCACGAGAGAAAGGGACCAGAACCAAAAACTGTGAAATACGTGAAGAGGACTGTGTGCATCGTCACAATAAAGGCGTGGCCTATATTAGGGGAGGGCGATAAATTGATATTTACAATATATCAAGATATTGTTGCTGCTCGATATGAATTTAGACATTCATATCGACCAGAACTGCGAAAAACGGCCGCGGTAAAGTGGTCCACACATTAAAAGCGGGTTGCCCCTTTTTGCTGTTTCCTACAGTAAACGTAGAAAGGGAAGCCGGGGGGAGGAGGGGATAAAAATGCATTAAAACAATTTAATTATGCAACTACTTTCACTGCACACTTGTTTACTGTCTTGATGAATTTTAAACTTTGCATTTTGGTAAGTAAAAGCATAAAGGGGCAACCCGCTTTTAATGTGCGGACCACTTTACCGCAACGGCGAAAAGCCGGGCCACTTTACCAATGTGAAAAACAAGAGAAATGGTAGCAGATCGGTGCCTACAGAGGCGAGTTTGACCAATGTTTGTCGTCATCCCAGGTCTCATATGGGCTTAGAATTTGTTCAGTTCGGTCTAATATACTTATTTTTAGCTTGTATTTTTCTCCTCTGATCTTCTTGCGTGCTTGTATACAATGCATTTCGCCCTCTGAGTCTTTTAACAGTACTCGTCGTATCCATGCTTCAGTATGTGCCGCTCTGTCAGTTAAATTACAAAAATGATAAACAGCATTAAACGAATGTGGCAGAAACACGTTGTTCGACCAGCATGGCTTTCAACTGCAAATCCTAAATACATCAGCGGGCCTTGTTTCAGTACGATCCTGTTTCCGTGGTTACATGCAGCGTAAACGCAGTAAAAGTGGTTCCATCCAGTTTCACCAAACAGACCTCAATCTCAGCAGGTTTACAGGACTCACCCACAATGGAGAGGATGACCACCACGAAGTCGAAGATGTTCCAGCCCACGGTGAAGTAGTAACAGCGCAGCGCCAAGATCTTCAGGCTGCACTCCAGGGTGAATACCACGATGAAGAACAGGTTGATGTTGTACAAGATTCTCTCCATCTGCTGCGGCTGCTCGTCCGTCTCCACCATCATCGTGATCATGTTCAGCAGGATCAGCACCATGATGACGATGTCAAACCACTGACTGTTCACCAGGTCGAAACAGAAGCCAGCCAGAGGGTTCTGAGGAGATGAAGGGGGAGAGGAGGTGAGGGAGGAGAAGAGGAGAAGAGGGGTGAGAAGAAGAGACGAGAGAGAGGGGAGAAGTGAGGCTCAGTTCTGGTCTGGATCTGAGTCAGGGTCCGTTCCAGTCCAGTTCTGGTCTGGGTCTGGTCCAGGTCCAGGTCTCACCAGTGGTCTTGGGATGGGCTTCTGTGGTTTCTTGGAGCCCAGTTTCTTCATGGCGTTGTAATATTTTTTCTGCTCCTCCGTCATAAAGATATCCTGTCCTCCTAAGTAAAGAGACCAACCACAATGTGAGAAACCACCCCCAATGTAGAAGACCACTCCCAGCGTGAGAGAATCTTAATCACTGCTATATTTGTTCAGTGGAAATGAGGCTTGGGAGTGTTTTGAGAGAGGGCAGGTTCAGCAATGAGTGTTTTGAGACTCATCTTTCGTTTCTGCTGGTTGAAGTTGTCTATGATGACGCCTATGAAGAGGTTCAAAGTGAAGAAGGAGCCGAAGATGATGAAGACCACAAAGTACAAATACATGTACAGGTTTATCTCCTTTATGGGCTGCTCCTCCACCTACAGAGAGCAGAGATCAGGTCTGAGAGGAGAGAGCACAGGGGAGAGAGACGAGGAAGAGGGGCGAGAGGGGAGAAGGGGAAGTGACCAGAGAGAGGAGGTAGAGGGCAGAATGGAGAGTAGAGTGGAGAAGCAGGACTCACAGATCTGGAGTCCACTGCTGCGTACATGATCTCCATCCATCCTTTGAACGTGGCCTGAAACACAAAACAGAACACTAGAATGAGAGTATGTTCCAAAGAGCGATAGTTTCACATAGTGGTGGAGCGCAGCTGTAACATCCTGGTAACTATCATAACGGTCAAAAGTCAGATTCTAGTCTTATATTCGTTTTGGCGATAATTCAAAAAACAAAATCTGTCTCAAAGTCCCACATTTTAATAATAATAAGAATAATAATAATGCATTGGTTTTATATAGCGCTTTTTTTTTGTTGCAAATTAAATATGATCTCAATATTTTCTCTGTTTAGTTTCTCTCTGGTCTCTCTCTCTAGTCTCTCTTTCCCATCAAGTTGCATTGGCTCCCACTGATCCAGGGGGCGCTGTAGGGCACAGTATGGCTGCTTTAACTGTGACTGTGCAGCCTTTTTAACCTTTTTAAACCTTTGAAACCGTCTAAACCTGCTCCGTTCCTCCGTTCCCTTCAAACTCATTCCTCTTTTGTGTTTTGTTCTTTTCAGAGTCTGAGCGACGTGAACTTTCTGCCCACGACTCAGCGCTAAAAATACCACCGCAGCCTGGACCAGCGGACGAGTCTCCTACTGCGTCTGCGGAGACTTATAGAGACCATGCGTGCAGCTCCTCTGAGATCAGGTCCAGGTAAAACTGCTCTATCTGCTTTCACTCAGTCGTGTCCAGGTAAAACTGCTCTATCTGCTTTCACTCAGTCGTGTCCAGGTAAAACTGCTCTTCTCTCAGCTTCCACACGTACCACTTGTAGCAGGGCCAAGTATCCTGCTCCCACATTGTCGAAGTTGACCTTGACTTTGGTCCAGTAGTAGTTGGTGGAGTTGAGAGCCAGGCAGTCGCTCTTGTTGTTGATGCGTGCTGCGTCGTGGATGAAGCCCGTGCGGTTCACACAGCGGCCATATTTCCCGGCAAACAGGTTGACGCCCATGATGCTGAAGATGAGCCAGAAGATGAGGCACACGAGGAGGACGTTCATGATGGAGGGGATGGCGCCGATGAGAGCGTTCACCACCACCTGAAGGAGAAACATCTGTGACACCGACACTGTTCCCAACCCACACTGAACCAGAACGAGGCATACACTGGTCCCTCACTATAACACGGTTCACGGTTTCATGCTTTTTTTTTACAGCATGCTTCTCATGGCCGCGTTAATGCTCCAACGACATCATATTACCTCAAGAATAACATGACAGTTACCTTTAACTCAGAAGAAAACTCCTGTGGCTTGTGTGCACCGCAGTGATTAGGTCAGAGGACTCCCTCTCTCGGGTCCATGTCACTGGTCTCTCTCTCTGGTCTCTCTTTCTGGTCTCTCACTGGTCTCTCTCTGGTCTCTCTCTCTGGTTTCTCTGATTTCTCTGGTCTCTCTGGTCTCTCTATCTGGTATCTTTCTGGTCTCTCTCTGGTCTCTCTCTCTGGTCTCTCTCTCTGGTATCTTTCTGGTCTCTCTCTGGTCTCTCTCTCTGGTCTCTCTCTCTGGTATCTTTCTGGTCTCTCTTTCTGGTATCTCTCTCTGGTCTTTCTCTCTGGTCTCTCTCTGGTCTTCCTCTGGTCTCTTTCTGGTCTCTCTCTGGTCTCTTTCTGGTATGCTCAGTTCTGTTCCTACCCCTCAGAATGCAGTGTATGCACAGCTTTTGACAGTTACAGCAGCGCTCAGGTTGCACTTGTAATCCTTGTGATAAACCAGGGACCAGTGTAAAAGTAAAATATTGTGAATAAAACAGGGACTTTCCAGAAACAAAATAATTGCATTTTCCCTCTATCTTTCTCAGCGTCCATGAAAGACTGTTTTATCGTCGGCGTGCGAAGGGCTTCGGGCCCAGAACGTTTCATGAACTTCTTTATCCACCTTTTGAAATACACATTCAGGACATTCAGGAGAAAAGCAGTTTGAAAGTTATTTCTATGATTATTATAAAGTGTTTCCCAAACATTTTGTTTTTGTTTTGTTAAAATGTTTTTATTTCACTGTTTGATGTAAAGTTTGGGAAACACTGATTAAACACGACTGAAGAAAGCAGCAAAAGCACCAGCAAGAAAATAGGGCTAATACTGTAATGATACTGTAATAATACTGTAATAATACTGTAATAACACATACATATATGCATTACATCAAGAATACACACACACACCTATATACAGATATGTTAATAAATAATTAATCATTCTTACCCTCATGCCCTCAAAGCGCGACAGCGCTCTGAGTGGCCGGAGCGCACGCAGAGTGCGCAGGGATTTAATTGCAGCAAAATCAGAATATCCCAAAGCATTGGCCACAAGGGACACCAGCGAGACCTAAGGACACAAGACTGGCTTTAGACCAGGTTTAGATCAAACCAGGGAGACCTAAGGACACAAGACTGGCTTTAGACCAGGTTTAGACCAAACCAGGGAGACCTAAGGACACAAGACTGGCTTTAGACCAGGTTTAGACCAAACCAGCGAGACCTGAGGAGACAAGACTGGGTTTAGAGCAGACCAGCGAGACCTGTGGACTCAAGACTGGCTTTAGAGCAGGTTGACCTCAGAGAGCATAATAAAAAGTTATTTCTCTGTCAAGAAGGGGAAGTCGACTTCAAGGTCTTTAAAAGAAACAAACAGGAGAAATAAGCCAGGATCTGAAAAAATGTAAATCTGGATCTGTGGAGAAAGAATTGTGTGGTGCACTGGACCAGGACCAGCGGCGTTAAAACTGAGCATGTGCAGCAGCAGCAGCAGATAAGCCAGGCAGGCCCCTCAGGCAGCTCTGGCGAATGATTGGGCGTGCTCTGAACGTTACCTTGATTCCAGCAAATCGCGAGGCAGCTCTAAGCGGACGCAGGGCACGAAGAGTTCAAAAGACCCGGACCACCGAGACCTGGTCCAAGTCCAAGAGCCAGACCCAGTGTCCCAGGAGAGAGAGCTGAAGACCAGTCCCACTTGTCACACTCGTGTATCACGATTTCTTTTGTGTGAAATGTGTTTGAATAAAAGAATAAATGAAATAACACGTGTGTCCCACACGTGCATGGAGCATACAGGAGTGGACTGACCCAATGTGACATCCCCATAGTGTTAGTCTTAATGCGTTTGAGGCGATTTGAACGCTGGAGACAGTTCTTAAATGGGCATTTGTTACGACCTTAGCTTTGCCCCTGTAGACCCATGTAATGGACAATACTTACCCTCCAGCTCAATGCTAAATTGCTAACTCAATGCAGACCAATAGGGAAGTGCTCACGGTGAACTTTGGCCCCAACTCCTCTGCTCCTATTGTCTTTTGACCGTTTGTGTCACACTCATCATTTTGGGTTTAAATCTGTGGTTTAGTTCTCTCTGTGATCCTGGTGTTTATATTGTGATTTTGTCTTTGTAAATACAGATTTTAGCAATATCTGAACTGACCAATCAGATGGCCGTCTTAGCAACACTTCTGCCCCTATTACAGCACGAAGCAAATGCTCATAAGGAAACTAGCTCCAGTTAGCTTTGGTTCAAATAGGCTTCTGCTACATTAAGACTAACACTATGATGATGAGACACATTGGTCAGTCCACTCCTAATGTATGCTCTGTGGAGAGGACAGAGCGACTCACGTCCACAATGAGGAAGTCCAGCCAGCACCAGTAGTTGGTGAAGTACTTCTTGAATCCGTAGGCGAGCCACTTGAGGATCATCTCCAAGATGAAGACATACGTGAAGATCTTGTCTGCGTACTCCAGGACAGTCTTCACCACCCGCCGCTTCTCTATGTAGATGTCTTCAAAGGCCTGAGAGACACAGACCAAAACCAGCTCTGAACCAAGTCTGAACCAAAACCAGGACTGAACCAGATCTTTCAGTGCTTCCGTCCTGCTTCAGTCCTACTTCAGTCCTGCCCTAGTGGTTCTAGGGTAGTAGTACTCACCAGGGCCCCGGAGCTCAACAGGATCATGAAGATGATGAAAGTCTCGAACCAGCTGTGCTCCACGATCTGGTAACAAGTTTTTCTGACTCTGAACCAGATCTGACCCGAACCAGAAGAGGTGTCGATGTCACAGCAGGCGCAGCGGCGCACACACACTGAAACCACAGGGAGCCAGGATCAGTCCTCCAGGTTTATACACACAGGTATACACACCAGAATACCCACACAAGTATACACACAAGTATACACACACAAGTACTGTATATGCAACCAGAATGAGATTAAGGAGGAAAGAAGGCTCAATGAAGCCCAATAGGGCTTGGTTTGGTTAAGTCTCTCTGGCTCCTATTGACTTACATGTAAAAATAAACTCTTCCAGCTCAGTAACAGTTTGTGTCACAGTCAAGATTTTGGGCCTAAATCTGTGGTTTAGCGCTCTCTGTGATCCTGGTGTATTTTTCCAGATATGAGCCACATATGGACTTACCAATCAGATGCCTTAAACTCCAGCTTGCAAAAAATGCACAGTGTGTCTTCAACAAACGTCTTATCAACAGACCCAGCAGATATAAAAGCAGATTGGCTCCAGCTTGCTTAAGCCTGGTTCACACGAGACAATTTTAAAATTGTCGGCCGTTTTTTCTCCGTGTTAGACCCCACACGGGGAGATTAAAAATCCTGCGTCTAACCACTTTGGTCGTGCAGTGTGTGGTGCGTAGCCACACGGCAAGATCACGCAAGCCACAAACATCACACACGAACCGACACCTGGTGTTTCCTCACCGGCTTGTCACCTCGTCTTCTTATTGGCTACACGCCGTAGTCATGGCAACGCGCTCGCTTGTCCTCGGAGGACACCACACACGACGAGAAATCGGGCCAAAACAATCCAACATGTTGGATATCCCCGATTTGAGATCGGGAGCAGTCCCGATGTCCTTCCGAGCGACGAGTGCAGTCTTAACACACCACACACGGCAGGATAATCTGTAAGATTTTGTTACGGAAATCGGAGCGTTTCTTAAGATTGTCGTAAGGGGTAAATCGGGTCTAAATCGGCCTAAATATCTTGCCGTGTGAACCAGGCTTAAGGTGCAAGTCGGCCTCTTCTGCATCTAGGTCCACTCTTGACAAACAATCAGTGGTTCCTCCGGGTGCTCCCATTTCCATTATCCCTAAAAACATGTATCTCTATACAGGTATATACTGTTAAACTGTGAGTATTTTTACTCATATATAAACTGTAAGTATATACACAAGTATATCAACATAAACTGTGAGTATGGACACAGTTTATATACGAGTATGTATACACAATTATATAAACTGTGAGTATATACTCATATGGTTGCAGTAACATTTGTCCTCCTGCTGCAGTTTCCCGCTGAGCTCCTCTGCTGAATCAGTCGCTTTACTCTCATCAATCATCGTCCAATCACAGCGCGGGACAATGACTTCTGCAGCCAATCAGAGCAGAGAAGTGGCAGAGGCGGGTGCAGCGTCCCAGGGCGAGTGCGCCTCCAAACTACACCATCATTCCTCATCCCAAACAGCACCACACTGATAAAAACCCCTGTGCTGAATCTGCCCCAGCTGCAGAGTGCACAAACATTAAAAGCTGGGTACGCATGAATTACATATGGGGTTGGTCCAACAGTAAAATATTCAAATTAAAAACATGCTGTCTTCATCTCATTAGAAATCTCTTTAGTATTAAAAAAAGAACCCTGTGAGTCACTATTTGACTCTTCTGGCACCCCAGCTTCAAATTTAGGTACCCCAGTTTTAAAGCCAATGTTAGGTACCTAACCTTTCCCATGTTCAGCCTCCTGATTGGATGAAATGAATTCAAATTCTCACTATTTGTTTAACTACTCCACAATTGTGAGAATGAGAGTGAATGAGAGAAAACTATGAGAACCGACAGAAGCTGAGGACAGGACGTTTTGGCTCAGATGAACAGGGCGTTTTGGCTCAGATGAACCCTTGAACAGTGCGTGTGCTGTGTGTTGGTTCCTCAGTAGAATATTCCGCCTCACTTCTCACAGATGGCTGATTTCTGTTTCCGCGCCCTTTTATGTACATTTCCTGTGAGCAGATTAAACATGTGACCTCATTCTCTCAGCACTGATGGATTAGCGTTAGCGTTAGCGGCAGGTGAGCGCGCACCTGCCGCTAACGTTAGCATGAATCAGCAATTATAAAGCAGAGGAAGCAGGTCACAGCTGGAAAGGCCCTCGGAAGCAGTTCTGTGGGGTAAACCGAGACCAGGACTATGGTCTTCACCCAGAGCTGAGGATAACATCACGTCATGTTCTAGGCACCGCTTGCAAACAAGAAATACACACAGATTATTTTCTCATTATTCCCCTCATCAAAGTATTAATGTTAATTATAATTTGTCCTTTAAAATTATATTGAGACTTATACTTTGTCATTTATGTTTTAGGATATAACATATATGATGATACAAGTATGAAGGGTAATTGATCTTTATTCAACCACTGAGATGGCAGGATCTCTTTTTCAGGGCAGTCCTGCCCCAGAGCAAAGGGTCAGGAGGGGGGAGACCAGGGCAACAGGAAGAAACCTACACAGACACGGGGAGAAACATGCAAACCACACAGAAAGTCCTGGAGGTGGAATCGAAACCAGGTCCTTGTTGTGAAGCCCAAGCGCTTAGAGCCCTGCACGGGCCTATTATCTGGGCCCGAGCCCGGCCCTGGCCCGAGGGGGTGGCGCCCCAGCCCGGCCCGGCCCGATATGGTTTCTGAATTTTCAGGCCCGAAACCCGCATCAAGCTCGCCTTTTTTTTTTTTGTGTAACCTCCCATAACAATGTTTTAGCGTAGTATATAGTGCCGCGCACTGATATGAACGCAGACTTAGCTAGAGGGCGGAGTTATACATGGTAGTGATGTGTTGCAATGAGTTCTGTGTGTGCGGAGTGAACGGCCGCATCTGTATGATACACAGCTGTATGATACACAGCTGTATGATGCCCAGATGCTGCAACACATCTGCACATTACATAAGTAATGCTATGTGCCGTCAATGACAACACTACACAGAACAACAAACACTACAGCGTGATAGAACGCTATATTCAGTGGGTGCGTTCGTAAATCTATTCTGCCGCTCTGAAAATGAAGAGCCCGAGCCCGGCCCGTGTCCGAGGTCATTATGCGGTCATCGGCCCGAAGCCCGGCCCTCGGGCTGTCGGGCCGTCGGGGCCCTCGGGCCAAGGGCTCAAGTGCAGGGCTTAGCGCTAACCACAGCGCCACTAAGCTGCCTGCCTGCAACTCCCTTTGCAACCACTGGAGGCAGACCAGAGAGAGACCAGAGAGGAAATGAAGTGATACCAGAGAGATACCAGAGAGAGGCCAGAAAGACATGAGAGAGACCAGAGAGACAACTGATATACCAGCGAGACCAGGGAGAGACCAGAAAGACCAGAGAGAAAACCCAGAATTACAAAAGAGACAAAAGAGAGACCAGAGATACCAGAAAGACACAAGAGAGAGCCGTGAGGTACCAAAGAGGCAAGAGAGAGACAAGAGAAAGACCAGAGATACAAGAGAGAGACCAGAGATACCAGAGAGACCTGAGAGATACCAGAGAGACAAGAAAGACCCGAGAGGTACCAGAGAGGGAAGAGAAAGACAAGCGAGAGACCAGAGAGGCAAGAGAGAGAACAGAGAGAGACCAGAGATACCAGAGAGACCCGAGAGATAGCAGAGAGAAAAGAGAGAGACAAGAGAGAGAAAGGCCAGTGATTCTGTGTGTGTGTGGTACATTGATGTGTGTTTATTATAATATACAGTGGGACAAAAAAGTATTTAGTCAGCCACCGATTGTGCAAGTTCTCCCACTTGCAAAATGACAGAGGTCTGTAATTTTCATCATAGGTACACTTCAACTGTGAGAGACAGAATGTGAAAAAAAAATCCAGGAATTCACATTGTAGGATTATTAAAGAATTTATTTGTAAATTATGGTGGAAAATAAGTATTTGGTAAAAAACCAAAATTCAACTCAATACTTTGTAATATAACCTTTGCTGGCAATAACAGAGGTCGAACGATTACTATAGGTCTTTACCAGGTTTGCACACACAGTAGCTGGTATTTTGGCCCATTCCTCCATGTTTCGGGGCTGTCGCCGAGCAACACGGACTTTCAACTCCCTCCACAGATTTTCAATGGGGTTGATTTCTGGAGACTGGCTAGGCCACGTTTCATCTTCAAAGCTCTCACTGATGGAAGGAGGTTTTGGCTCAAAATCTCACGATACATGGCCCCATTCATTCTTTCCTTAACGTCCTGTCTCCTTAGCAGAAAAACAGCGCCAACGCATTATGTTTCCACCCCCATGCTTCACAGTAGGTATGGTGTTCTTGGGATGCAACTCTGTATACTTCTTCCTCCAAACACGTCGAGTTGAGTTGATACCAAACAGTTCTACTTTGGTTTCATCTGACCACATGACATTCTCCCAATCCTCTGCTGTATCATCCATGTGCTCTCTGGCAAACTTCAGACGGGCCTGGACATGCACTGGCTTCAGCAGGGGGACACGTCTGGCACTGCAGGATTTGATTCCCTGTGGTCGTAGTGTGTTACTGATGGTAACCTTTGTTACTTTGGTCCCAGCTCTCTGCAGGTCATTCACCAGGTCCCCTCGTGTGGTTCTGGGATCTTTGATCACCGTTTTCATGATTATTTTGACCCCACCGGATGAGATCTTGCGTGGAGCCCCAGATCGAGGGAGATTATCAGTGGTCTTGTATGTCTTCCATCTTCTGATAATTGCTCCCACAGTTGATTTGTTCACACCAAGGTGCTTGCCTATTGTAGATTCACTCTTCCCAGTCTGGTGCAGGTCTACAATTCTTTTCCTGGTGTCCTTCAACAGCTCTTTGGTCTTGGCCATAGTGGAGTTTGGAGTCTGACTGTTTGAGGCTGGGGACAGGTGTCTTTTATACAGATAACGAGTTCAAACAGGTGCCATTAATACAGGTAACAAGTGGAGGACAGAAGAGCTTCTTGAAGTGATAGTCTGTAACTCTAAATGAATTACAAATTTTAGGAAATGTGCTAAATTGACCTCCTGGCCTTAAATGTTGATATAAAATAAGTCATTTTATTAATTCTAATATTACGGGCAAGTCCCGCCTTCCCTGCTCTTAGCTATAGTTCAGAATCCACGGTGCCGTCGAGGTTAACCAATCGAGTCATGCCAAGAGCTGTCAATCATCGGCGCTGATGCTCGCAGCTGCGCGCATGCGCAGTTGTTTGTTTTCGCTGAGCCTCCGAATCGAGCCTCTATTAGGCTCTGGAACTACATGAAAACTGAACAAAGAATTCTGAACATCCGCGCTGAGGTACTTATGTTTATACTGAACCTATATCCATAATCAGATCCTCTGCAGATGTGTCCTATAATGTGCAATTCATGATAATAGCACTTCCTGGTTTGCCGCGATCGCTTTTTTTGTGCATAAAAACATTATTTTTTTCATTAAAACATTCACAAATAATTCTGAAAACCTCCGTGCATGTGTATTAATAATGTATATGTATAATGTGTTCTCTGATTAACATTTCAAAGTGTTACGGAAACGTAGGTGTAGACCAATCAGAAAGGAAGGGGGAGGGAGCTTGCGTCGTTTTTTTCAAATCAAGTACCTCTCTATCTCTCTTTCTGACAAACTCCAGACAATCACTTTAAAGAAGAAGTCACAGGTCTGTGAGAGCCAGAGATCTTCCTTGCTTGAAATGACCAAATACTTATTTTCCACCATAATTAACAAATAAATTCTTTTAAAATCCTACAATAAGATTTCCTGGATTTTTTTTTTCACATTCTGTCTCTCACAGTTGAAGTGTACCAATGATGAAAATTACAGACCTCTGTGATTATTATAAGTGGGAGAACTTGCACAATCGGTGGCTAACTAAAGACTTTTTTGCCCCACTGTATGTATTGTAGGTGTACACACACACACATACTGTATAGTAGACCTGTGCTGTGTTGGGAGCAGAGGAAGTGGGACATTTGGTCCTGAGTGATGATGGCTCAGATCTTTGTTTTTGCACAAATGTGGAGCATGCAGCACTTTACGCGTGTGCATTCATCACGGCTCGTTACACATCATTATGAACCTGAGATTTCCCATTGAAAGGGGCGGTTTGCCCGACCACTAAAATGTGTACAATAGGTGAGGGTTGAAAGTGTGTTTGTGAGTACTGTGGGATTACAGATGGAGCTACTTATCTGACTTAATTACAGCTCCTGCTGTATATTAGTGCACACTGTCCCATCCACATTAACATATAACACAAATGAACACAGTCTTACATGTTCAGACCTGCTGTCTTCATCTTTGGAAAGACGGCTGAGAGCTGATTGGTTGAGTAAGGCTGGTGCTCTCTCTAAAGAGGTTCTTTTGGTGTGGTTTGAAAGTTACGCACCCCAGCTTTAAAGTGACTTTCCACAGCTTTTCATGTATTTTTTTATTTCAGGCAAACACAGGGGTAACACAGTTGTTTTTAGCATGAAAAAGGCCTATAGCTAAATTAAAGAGAACTTACTCTAAAGTTCAGCTTTCAATTTAAATACCCTATCTTTAATGTTACATACCCCAGCTTTAAAGCTGTACCCAAGCTTTAAAGTTAAAGCCCCAGTTCCCCCATGTTACATAGTACACCAGCTTAAACATCACATCTGAAATCCATTTCTCACACAGAATCTGAAGCTGCTCATTTTATAATTTGGAAAATCCCTATGTCCAAACGTAGGGGGTGCCAGGAGAACCATTACACCGAACAATGAAGCAGAAGGAAATGCCTGTGTCTTATGGGGAGAGTAGAGATCATGGAGAGTATAGCAGTAGTGTGACATCACGCCTTTATGCAGAAGAAGCTGATTTGATCATAAGCTAGCTGAAGCCAGTTTCCTTATATGGGCCTTTGGTTTAGCTCTGTGCCATATCAGGGCCAGATGTGTTGCTAAGACAGTTATCATGAATGAAGGCATCTGATTGGCCAATCCTTACAGTTCGGGATTTACAAAGACAATATCGCAATACAAACACCAGGATCACTGAGAGCACTAAACCACAGATTTAAGCCCAAATGGTGAGTGTGACACAAACGGATACTGAGCGAGTTTACTTTTACACATTAGTCAAAAGGAGCCAGAGAGAGTTGGAGCCAGTTAGTAAAGAAGCAGCTCTGGGGGCCATACCTTCGGGGAAGCAGTTCTCAGGGTCCATGGCCTCCTGCTCCAGCTCAGAGAAGTCCTCCTCTTCTTCTCCTGGTTTCCTCAGGTCCACAGTGCTGCCCTCTGACAGGCTGATGTCATCCTTCTGTAAAATACCAGTGATAATTCAACTTACGTTTTATTTGGGCAAAACTCAAAAGATTGCAATCTTTACTTCCATGATTATCAACATCAGAGTTTAGAACCAGAAGCACATTATACTGTATATAAGCACAGTAGGTGATAAAGATTGTCACATCAGTTATTTTGTGTATGATTTTAAATAGTCTGTGTTCATCAGCACGTTCCAAAGAGCGATAGTTTCACATAGTGGAACATATTCCCTGGTAACTCAGATCCTATAGTCTTACATTCGTTTGGAGCCAATTTATCTGTGATTCCTGGAACAATTGTGAAACAAAATCTGTCACAAAGTTCCACATCTTTTTTGTCACATTTCATTTATGGTGTCATTGTTTTTTAAAAAGGTGTCTATGTCTCTCTGGTCTCTCTCACAAGTCTCTCTCTGGTCGCTTTGTGAATCTAATCGCTCTCCTTCACCACACTATTACAGGACTGAGACTTTTAGACAGAATGGGGGGAGTTACATGTTTATGCTTTCTGAAAAAAAAAAATCAACTCAAGGTCTGTAACTTATAAGGAACAACGAAAGAATCGACGGAGAACATGGAGAAAATATAATTTTGCAGAATAAGTCTCCTGTAAACTGTATTTCTATGTTCTGGTCGGCATTAGAGCGTTTTCGGGGTGTTATGAGAGTCATTGTTGGGATGTTTGGCTGTAATCCTCGTGCTGCTGCGTCGGAGGTGACGGCCTTATGTAAGTGTGCCGACCGCTGCTCCTTATGACGAGCACAAGAGAACAGGCGAGTCAGGAAAGCTCTGCAGCAGACCAGAGGCTTTTAGGGTTTAATACCAAGAGAGACCAGAGAGAGACCTGAGAGACCAGACACAAACCAGAGACCTGAGAGAGACCAGAGAGAGACCAGTGAGAGACCTGAGAGAGACCTGAGAGAGACCTGAGAGAGACCTGAGAGAGACCAGAGAGAGACCTGAGAGAGACCTGAGAGAGACCTGAGAGAGACCTGAGAGAGACCAGAGAGAGACCAGAGAGAGACCAGAGAGAGACCTGAGAGAGACCTGAGAGAGACCAGAGAGAGACCAGAGAGAGACCAGAGAGAGACCAGAGAGAGACCAGTGAGAGACCAGAGAGAGACCAGAGAGAGACCTGAGAGAGACCTGAGAGAGACCTGAGAGAGACCAGAGAGAGACCAGAGAGAGACCAGAGAGAGACCAGAGAGAGACCAGAGAGAGACCAGAGAGAGACCAGAGAGAGACCTGAGAGAGACCTGAGAGAGACCAGAGAGAGACCTGAGAGAGACTAGAGAGAGAACTGAGAGAGACTAGAGAGAGACCAGTGAGAGACCAGTGAGAGACCAGTGGGAGACCAGAGAGAGACCTGAGAGAGACCAGAGAGAAACCGGAGATCTGAGTCAGACCAGAGACATGACATAGACCAGAGAGAGACCAGTTACTTGAGAGAGACCAGAGACCGGAGATAAGTGAGACCAGAGTGAGGCCGTGTGGGACCTGTTTGTGGCATTTGCAGAATCAAAGCCGCACCTGTCCTGTGGTGACATGGGGTCACGGGGCGGGAAGACTACACACAGATGTGATCTCTGACTACACCTCCCACAATGCACCAACACCAAAGAAAACAACAGGAGGATAAATGTATATTAGAGGAGCAAAAGTGTCTTATAGTGAAATGTTGTGAACAAATCAGACACACAGAGACCACCAGAGACACTGGAGTGACTAGAGAGAAACATAATAGCTTTGGCGTAAGAAAGAGTCACTATTTGACTATTTGAGACCAAATCTAAAACCTTGATCATCGCTGAACTGAAACAGTATTTTCATTTCTGTTGGATTTAAAGTTGAGCGGTTGCGTTGTGTGGACGTGTGCGCACCAAACATGCCCTTTGCCCTTCTGTCATGTTTCAAAGCCTCGACGCGCTTCACTTACAATCAGAATATTGCTCCAGTCGCCTGAGGCACTGTGGGAGTGGGTCATTCAAGCAGCTCTTTGAGAATGGAGCTGTGTACTTGCCACATGCCACAGCTCTTTCTGACTTCAAATATTCAATTATTGTCATGTATTTTAATTTAGAAATTATATAATGTGTCCAATTTGATTACTCATGTAAACATGTGCTGTGATTGACCAGAGAGGGACCAGAGAGACCAGTGAGAGAGATCAGTGATCACTGGCTTGGCCCTGATTCTAACCCTGCCGAGTCAATACTAGGGTTTAAACCCAGGACATGGGATTCCTGGAAAATCTGATCAAAACTATTTCCCGATTCTCGGGAAATGTTATGACGGGAAACGGGAAACGGGAAGTTCAAACATATTTTCTTTACAATCAACATGTCTACAGCTGAGAGGATGGCTCATAAATTGTGTTTTTGACAACAAATATGGGTCTTAATCGCCCTCAACCACGGCTTGTAATGTCACCAAGTGAAGTAGGGCCAGCCTCAGGTACGGGGAGCGCAGAATTTGGCTGCATCCGATTCCATCAGAAAGCTTCTTTCTTTTTTTCATCTGCAAAGGGCAGAAACAGGCGGTTTGGCTAACATATATATAACACATTTTAAGATAATTTAAAATGCATTAAGGGTAATTTTATGCTCCCAATGACAATATGAATGATAAGGAAGAGAGGTGAAGGGTAAGAAGGTTGATATTAGAAATTGGATGCCCCAGAGATTCGGCTTTATCGAAACAGACACTCGTTTTGTTTTACTTTTTAAAACTCATTGGACTTACGTATTTCCGAATGGAGGATTACATATCTACGCTCAAACTATTATCTGGACTTAAAGCTGCACTAACTGACTTTATTTTTGTATTCATTACGAAAATGCTATCCATGTCCATGCAGTGCATTGGGATATACCTCCTTTTGAAGAAAAAGTAGCGCAGATTTGTGCTGGCCTGACATTATATTTTAGATCGAGTTTTGATGAAACAAGGAAGAGGATGTTTCGGGTCGCAGATTTTGACCAATCACAGCGGACCACTGGCCCCCAATTTCGTGAGAAATCTACAGGTCCGTTAGCATAGACAGCTGAGTTAGCACAAAAAGCAGCGGAGCTAACCTGAAGCTTCCTCGTCTTCGTCACCGGTTACTGCTTACACAGCGAGACAGCCATCCAAAAGAAAGTCCCGTTCCTCCGCGCTTCCCGGTTCTATCGCTCTATGGTCACGCCATCCACGTGCAAATCCATGTCCATGTATTATCTATATTGGGAGACGCTAGCTCCGTCCCAACAGTGGGTGTGTGTGGGGGGCGATAGCTTCGTGGGTGCGGGGAGGGGAGCAGAAAGAGCGAGGCCAGCGAGTCCGCGGCTTCAAAATCCTAAAGTCAATTAGTGCAGCTTTAAACATGAAAGTGGTCTGAACTGAAGTGGTCTGTGCTGTTCAATAATAACTAAGGTAAGGCCCATAACATACTTGGAAATGTGCTTTTTACGAACTTTTGCGTTTTGTTTGAGCAAACAATGCGGGCATGGAACATATTCTGCTGTAGCCAAACAAATTGTGAAGATTGTGTGCCAAGGTCGTGGGTTCGAGCCCACCATGCGACCTTCTCCACCGACTCCCACTGATGACTGCTGTCGTTGTGTCCTTGGGCAAGATACTTAACCCCGCTTTGCCTGAATGCCCCGCTGAAAGATCATGGCTATGCCATAGAGCAGCCATCCTAATGTGGACTCACCACCTGCAGGAGGATCAGTGAGGGGCTGGTGCTGTGTGTACTGGGTGGCATCTCTGGCCACCCCCCCAACCCACAAATGGATTAAGGGGTTGAAAATGGATGGATGGATGTTCATCTGATTGGACTGAAGTCACTGCCTCCAAACCTCACCGCACGTCACTGGTCGGTGGATTGCGCAGACATTTAGAATCTCAGCATAGTGAAGTTCCTGAAGAATGCCCGACAACAAAACATCTGAAAACGCTGGATGGCTACTTTAGCAAAGCTAGCAAGTCGCTTGGTGAAACACCAGCGGAGATGGCAGCTTTTGATGGATTTACGTTTATTATTATATATATTTGAGTGATATCATACATTACTTGGGCTAAAAACAACAACTACAAAAAACAGCTATTTCCCGGGATTTGATACGTCTCATCTTCGGGAAAAATATTAAACCCTAGTCGATACCAAAACAATCTAACGTCGGCGAAGGTCTATTGGGATTGGTCAGAGGCGCTGTCAATCACTCTTCAGCTGGTACGTCAGCTGTTGCAAAAACCATAACAAAAAACAAGTTGCCTAAAATTTCCATAAAAAAAAAATCCCTTGGTAACTGGATTAGGGCAACATCTTCCTCAGTTTGGTCGAAGAGCACAAAATGCCACGTGAGCTCAAGGGTTCTGAAACGAGAAGGTCTTTGCGGTGGTAGCATAGCGCTATGGATATTTCGATCTGGAGAGACCAAGACAGACACGTTAATGCATTTAGAAAGATTTATTGTTTGGCGGATTGACCCCGGCAGTGACACTTGCAGAGGGGACATTACTGCTGCTGAGATGATCTCAGATCCCCGGAGTCAAGCACTGGTGGTGGCTAGAAGCATGGTGTGAATGGGGCGTAGGCGGAGCAGGAGCCAGAGCAGGAGTACGAGGAGGTGCTGGGTGTCAAGAGCTTCAGGAAGGGCTGGTTAATAGGAAGTGGCTGCTTTTAAACTGCCGGCTTTGCTGTCAGTGGTTGGCAGGGGGGCTAGCCGAGCTGTGCAATTGGCTGAGGCTCGAGACTGGCAGAGCTGTGTGAGGTGAGAACTGAGGCATGCAGGTCTTCCCAGTCTGAATTTGCGCTTAAGCTTCACTGTCAAACATCATCACAGTGCAGAGAAAACGTTAAGAAGCTTAAAAGTGACTAACGTGAAATTAAAGATCAAAACAGCAAAAGCGGGTCAGACCGAAAAGCTTGGAGGTGGTTTGACCAAATGGATGCACATCAGCTAACACCAGCTAACACCGAGAGAGATGGATGCCGGGACTCTGCTTCGTCCCAGCTCCCAGATTTTGAGTTTGAGAGCAATGGTTAGTGTTTGTCTTCAATCTGGTTTTGTGTGGTTTGGAAGTCTAAAAACAGCTAAAGCGGTGTGTAGTGATCTTGAAAGCATCCCCCCACGTTACCAATTAATGCAGCCGGGGCAATGGATATGCTCTCAAACCGAATCGAGTCGTGTTGAACGAACTCCGTGCTGAATGTGTCCTTTAAAGCCGCCTCAGTCTGAAGATGACGTGTTACATAAGCACAGAGTGTGAACAAAGAGCTGACCGACACGACGACCCGAGGCTCCAGGACAAAACACTTCAAAGAACAGGGATTCAGCACAATCTGAGTTCACTTTGTCCAGAAACACCATTTATGCTTTACCACAAAAGCAAGGATGCAAATGTGACGCATCAGAAAGCAAAGAGAGCGCTTTAGAAACGGAGCAGAGGTTCTAGAGAGAGACAAGGGCCCAGAGAGAGACCAGAGGGAGACCAGAGAGTGACCAGAGAGAGATCAGAGAGAGGCACTAGAAAGAGACCAGAAAGAGTCCAGAGAGAGACCAGAGAGAGATCAGAGAGAGGCACTAGAAAGAGACCAGAGAGACCAGAAGGAGACCAGGGAGACACCAGAGGGAGGCCAGAGAGAGATCAGAGAGAGGCCCTAGAAAGAGACCAGAAAGACCAGAAGGAGACCAGGGAGAGACCAGAGGGAGACCAGAGGGAGACCAGAGAGTGACCAGAGAGATGCACTAGAAAGAGACCAGAAAAAGACCAGAGAGATGCACTAGGAAGAGACCAGAAAGAGACCAGATAGAGACCAGAGAGAGACCAGAGAGAGACCAGAGAGAGATCAGAGAGGCACTAGAAAGAGGCAATAGAAAGAGACCAGAGAGTGACCAGGGAGGCCACAGAAAGAGGAACTAGAAAAAGAGACCAGAAAGAGAGCTAGCGAGAGACCAGAAAGTGATCACAGAACATGAATAGAGTCCAGTTTCAACAGAAAGGGCAGGAGGAGGTTTTGATATTATCGTTGATGAGGCTAAACACTGCAGGTCTGTGACTCATGAGGAACAGTGATGGGCATTTTCATATTATGTGAAACACAAATGTGATTTTAGTAAAAAACAAAGCCGAAATATTTGTATATAAAAAAAAAAAAAGAAATAAAATAATAATAATAAAAATCAATCAAACAATTAAACTAAATTAATTGAATATAATCTAATCCCAGCTAATGTGAGGTGAGGTGGACAGCGCTTGGGCCTGTTTGTGATGAAGGTGATGAGCTCTGAATGTGTCGTCTCCTGTTAGAGTCTGCGAGCGGTCGTCCCTCGGGTCAAACGTCCAGGACTCGTCACAAACAGAACTGCACCCCCACCCCTTCTGCCCAATGCTCCGTCTCCAAACTGATCACACTATGATGAATCAGATGGCCCCAACCAGGAAAGATTTTCAAAGGGCTTTTTAAGATCCAATTACTTATGCTTTGATTTTCAGGCTCTAAATTTTCAGGCTCTGAATTGTGTCGCCCAACGGGTCCAGGAATCAAGGAACCAGAGAGAGACCAGAGAGAGACCAGAGAGAGAGACCAGAGAGAGAGCAGTGAGAGATCAGAGAGAGACCAGAGAGAGACCAGAGAGAGACCAGAGAGAGAGATAAGAGAGAGACCAGAGAGAGACCAGAGAGAGCAGAGAGAGAGATAAGAGAGAGACCAGAGAGAGAGCAGTGAGAGACCAGAGAGAGCAGAGAGAGAGATAAGAGAGAGACCAGAGAGAGAGCAGTGAGAGATCAGAGAAAAAAACCAGAGAGAGAGACAAAAGAGAGACCCGAGACACCAGAGGTTTTGAGCCCTTCCTCCTCTTCCAAATGTATCTTTAGCAAGTCGATTAGCGTGTTTACCGTGTCGTACTCGCGCTCCTCGTCACTCCCCTCCTCCTCCTCCTCCTCTTCCTCGTTGAACTCCAGGTCAGACTCTCCGGGGGCGATGGGCACACTCAGGGTCAGAGAGGCGTTGGTCATGTAGCTGTCGTCTGAAGACACATACTTCTCCACTTGTCGACCTGAAGAACAAGTACAGGAGGAAGGAGTCGTAGCAGCAGTAGTAGTAGTAGTAGTAGTTGCAGCATTAGTAGCAGTAGCAGTAGTTGTAGTAGAAGTAACTGAAGTACCAATGGCTCCGTTCTCCTGATGCACGCTGCTCAGTCGTTTCAGTTTCAGAGTTTGGATCTGAGCCTTTCTGAGTTTTTCTCTCCTCCTCTTCAGACCCCGGTTAAAGAACAGCAGTATCTACAACAGGAGTGGGGTTAGAACATGTTTAGACAAGAGACCAGAGAGAGAGACCTGGGAGAGACAAGAGAGAGACCAGGGAGTCCAGGGAGACCTCAATCCTGGTTCTGGTCCTCACCTGGTCCTTGCACCAGCAGACCCCGATGCAAATCCGTTTGAGGGCGATCTGCAGATTGTTCATTTCTCCGTCGTCGTCGGGAGCTGAAAGGTTATCAGAACTGAAGGAGGAGAGCAGTAGGGCCAGGAACAAGTTCAGGACCTGGAACCAGAGACAGAACAAGGCTTTGGATCAAGAGCAAGTTAAAAGTTGGTGAGATCTGAGGCGAGAAAAGTTCTGTCTTCAGTCCCTTCCAATAGAGAAGTGCTATTGGAGTGCTATAGTTTGAAAAACTGACAAATCAGGAGCCTTCTGTTGCCCAATTCATAGCAAGTGGACAGACAGGCACCATTCATGATTGTTGCTGGTTAACTCGTTTGTTGCTACCAACAACATTTGCATCAATGCAGCTCAACAGTTAGCTATGATATGCTTCTGCATTAAGGCAAATCCTACGGTCATGTCACACTCGGTCCACTCCTTATAAATGGTGCATAGTTGTATTTTTGTATCAATGAGACCAAAAGATGTAAACATCTTACATTAAGTAACTTGTGATTCATTTTTATACTCTGTCATGAAAGACTCTGTTGACAAATTATTTTATTACAGTTTTTTGACAATAAAATGAGCAGAACCAAGACTGCTCCATTAGACCCAGTTTCCACACCAGATGAGCTCACACCGGCCTCAGCGGCTCTGCTTTCTGGACTGAATATTAAAAAGTGAAATCCCACAGTTTTTATAGTCAGTTTAAAAATAGTTTAGACTCCCATGAGTCTGCAGCAGACAGGCCTCAGAGGGGAGGTTTTAATGCCAGCACCACACTAACTTTTTACATGTCTATGTTCAGGTGACATCAGCACGTTCCAAAGAGCAACAGTTTCACAGTGGAGAGCATCTCTCCTGGTAACTAACTGTCAAAAGTCAGATCACAAAGTTCCACATCGTCAGCATATATCAACTATGGTCTCATTATTTTATCTCTCTTCTCTCTCTCTCTCTGCTCTCCCTCCAGGTCACTCTTTTTGGTCCACTCTCTTTAAAATGCGGTGCATTCTCTCTGGCCGTTCTGTTTGGTTGCTCTCGCTTGTTGCTCTTGCTGGTCTCTCTCTCTGGTCTCTTTCTGGTCTATCACTTTGGTCTCTCTCTGGCCTCTCCCTCTGGTCTCTCTTTCCGGGCTCTATGGTTTTTCTCTCTGGTTTCTTACACTGGTTTTTCTCTGGTCTTATTGCGGTCTCTCTCGGGTCTCTCTCTCTTGTTTCTCCTAACCAGTAGAAAGTACTATCAGACGTAAGAATATTATGACAGCTTTGTGGATGTTCCCAATATTAGTGTGACCTAATTAGGCGCAGTGACATCTGCTTTAATTCATCAATAAAGCGGGTCAAACACAGGAGCGGGCGTGACGATAGGAAGAGGGAGGTGATAGGGTTGAGGATCTCTATCCGGTTGCAGGTCTCTATTTGGTCTCTCTCAGGTCTCCTCCTGGTATCTCACTCGCTGGCCTCTCTATGGTCTCTATCTGCTCTCTCTCTCTGTTCTTTCTTTGGTCTTTCTCTGTTCTCCTTTTGGTCTCTTTCTCTTTATTGGGCATGAGCAGAGAGGCTGTTGTTGATTTAGTTTTACATTTCTCTCGTTCATATAGTGTGAGTGATATTGAGCTGTTGCGTAACAAAAAAATCAATGCGTGAATGTGACCGAGCTTCAGGTCAATGTCCATCTGTACTGGGAGTATTTGGGAAGATGAAATATTGCCAAAAACACTTAAAAATCCATTCAGCTGCTTTTGAAAACCAAATCCACACATAGTGACACTATCAGCAGCAGCATGTTGGACATTTCCAAAGCACCAGCAAAACCAGGTTACTCTCCAAGTCTAGTTTAGTCTTGTCTCTCTGGTCTCTCTTTGGTCTTTCTCTGTTCTCTTTGGTCTTTCTGATCTCTCTCTCTCGTCTCTCTTGTTGGGACTGTTTACTTCATAACATATACACACATTTCTAATATCAGTATACAATTCCGCTGCGCTTTTAAATGCATCTGCTGGCTTTTCTGCTGTTTGTGTGGTTACAAGCTGCGTAAATGCAGTAGTTCCATCCAGTCACATCAAAAGGACAGTTTTTCACTCCTTAATAACAGCAGGTTAGAGTCTGCGAATTGGACTTCAGAGAAAAATCCAGTTTCACTAGCCTTTGGGAATGCCTGGTTCAGTCCTGGTTCAGTCCTGGTTTAGACCTATATCCATCCTGGTTCAGTCCTGGTTCGGTCCTGGTTTAGACCTACAGTATATCCGTCCTGGTTCAGTCCTGAGAGAGAACTGGTTCAGACCTGGTTCAGAACTGGTTTAGATGTGACCTTTCTTGCTGAGACTAAACGCCTTCGCTGTCTGCTGGAGTCTCTTTGTCCTTTCTGTTTGTGTGAGAGCATTTAAGTGGAGACTGCGGGGGATGTGTGTGTGTGTGTTCATAAAGTGTGTACGTGTGTGTGTGTTCATTAAGTGTGTGTGTGTGTCTCAGGTAACATTCCAGTTCTGAGCAGAGAGTTGTTGCTTATAGTTCCTGGCTTTGAAACAGTTTGCTATCACTAGTTCTCTGGCCCATGTCACATCTTTAGATCCTCTTTTTCAAACGGAAAAGTGATAAAGAGAGGGCCATCCTCACTCAGCCAATCAGCTCTCAGCCCAAAGAGTCAGATTGTGATTCATTCACAAGAGATGAACAACATTGCTCACAACAGTTAAAGTTTAGACTGTTTCTGTTCAAAGTACATGTTATTTATGAGGCTCAACTTGCACACCCCAAACATGTTTTGTCCATGAGTCTTTAGAATGCGGTGCAGGATGCTTCTGCCGCCTGTGGAGGAGCTGTGTCTCTGCGGTAAAATGAGAACTTCAATTATTTAAAACCAAATGAGGCCCGCAGTTTAGACTCTAAACGTTAGACTGTTCCAAATGTGTCCCGGGAAAACAATGGCAAAGGGTGGCATGTTGTTTAGAACCATGTTAGCTTTTCACCATGTGAAAAACATGGTCAAAATATGACTAGAGAGAGACCAGAGAGAGACCAGAGAAAGACCAGAGAGAGATCAGAGAAAGACCAGAGAGAGATCAGAGAAAGACCAGAGGGAGACCAGAGAGAGATCTGAGTGAATCGGATTCTAATGGACTACAGAAAGAGCTCAAACTCTGACATTGAGAACTTCACTCATTCAAACACGGCTCCACGGCTTGTTACGCTGTCATTTTGCAATTTGCTATCCCTCGTTTTACAAATGTTTTTCAGAGCCTTCTTCCCCCTTGCGAACGATAAAATGCGGTTCAGTAAAAAATAAAGAAAGGCCTTTTGGCCTCTACTCTAATACTCCACCCAATTAAAAAACAACTAAAATGCTATTGATGTAAGTTTACTAAATAAAATATCACTATATCACACTATTTTGTATCGACATATAGCGGTGAGTTTAATACGTTCCAGTAACAAAACTCATTTTTCCGGGAATTTTATTTACCATGGGCAGCTGTGATCACGCATCTGCTGGTGCTCGTGCATCAGCCACGACGCAAAATAAGTTCTCATTCCACAGTTTGTGAAGCAAGAGGCCGCTAGTGGTGCGACACAGCAGCGCCAGTGAGACTAACTTATTTTCTTTTGATGAGGAAGACGCAACGTCCTTCAGGGGAGTACTTCAGTTTATGAGATCAGGCTCAGTTAGAGGTCCTAAAGCGATTCCCCGAGTGAGAGCTGTGTTCATGAAATACAACAAACCCATGCGTTCAAGCTCTGTGGGATTTTTATCATAAAGAGCATGAAAGAAATATCTGTTATTATCTTCATAGTAAAAATTCCACAACACATTTAGGAAAACAGTTTTGCTCGAGCATAAGAAAAGATAGTGTGTCTACAGTAAGTGTGTGTGTGTGTGTGCACATCTGTATGCGTGTGTGCGTGCGTGTGTGTGTGTGAGTGTGAGTGTGTGTGAGTGTGAGTGTGAGCGTGTGCGTGTGTGTGTGTGTGAGTGTGTGTGTGTGTGTGAGTGTGTGAGCATGTGTGTGTGTGTGTGTGTGTGTGAGTGTGCACGCGTCTGTGTTATGCTAACTCAGGGAAACTCCAGCCGTGTGTCGTTTGTCACACACACTCACCATCTGGACTCACGTCTGCAGAACAAGTCCTTTACGCGCATTCTGCACCGTAGTGTGCGACATCACACAAGATTAATATTAAAACTACTTTATTACAGACATAAGGCTCTAATCACCAGAGTAAACAGAGAGAGACCAAAGACTAGAGAGAGAACAGAAACCAGAGAGAGACCAGAGAGAGAACAGAGAGACCAGAAAGAGAGAACAGAGAGAGAGAACAGAGGGAGAGACCAGAGAGAGACCAGAGAGAGAGAACGGAAAGAGAGACCAGAGAGAGAGAACAGAGAGAGACTAGAGAGAGATTTGAGAGACAAGATATTTCAAGGCAAGCTGGTCTCTCCAGCTTAAATAGCTCATATCTGTATTTACAAAAACAATATCACAATAAAAAAACACCAGGATCGCAGTGAGCACTAAACCACAGATTATTAAGTTAAGAAAGCACAATTTTTACTGTACTGTACATCTTGTCTCGTCAGAGCTTCAGTCCTGTATATGAGCAGTGCTTAAAGCTGCACTAACTGACTTTGGGATTTTGAAGCCGCGGACTCTCTGGCCTCTCTCTTTCTGCTCCCCTCCCCGCACCCACGAAGCTATCGCCCCCCACACACACCCACTGTTGGGACGGAGCTAGTGTCTCTCAATATGGATAATACATGGATATGGATTTGCACGTGGATGGCGTGACCATAGAACGATAGAACCGGGAAGCGCGGAGGAACGGGACTTTCTTTTGGATGGCTGTCTCGTTGTGTAAGCAGTAACCGGTGACTAAGGCTGAGTTTACACGGAGACAATGTGGCAGTAAAACGGTATAGTTGGATGTCGGTTGCTACCAACCGTTCATACGAAGACTGTGTTCCAGGGGGGTGAAAACGTAAGTGTTCAGATCCAGCCTGCAGAGTGGGACAACTCAGATACGCTGTACAGCGGGGGCTCTTTCACACCCGCGAGAGGGGAATAGGTGTGAAATCCCCCTCTGCTCTGACCCCCACCTCCGCGCTGCTCCCCGCACGTAAATTTGGACATGCGCAGTAGCGGAGAACAAACATCAACAACAATGGCGCCACCCACACAAACTAGCTACGTGGGCTTCCAGCGCGGGACAGAGGATAATTCTACTCCTTCGTTCGTCCAAACGAGACCACGCGAAGCTCTAGGTTCAGTTTCCATGTTCACAGCTGCTGTTAAAATGCAGAATGATGTTGGTACTCTCTGGGGGTCTGGCACAGGAAGTGAATATACTGCTGAGAGGGGGGCTGGGCACGGGGCTGGGGGTCGTGTGAGTGTTGTAAAGTTTCTCTGCCCACTACTGGCCAGGCGCTAGAACTACATCGTTTTTCAACCTCATGTGAACGCTGAGAAATTTGCATTAGGAGCCAGGTCGTTTCTGTTAATAGCCTGGAAACGTCTGCGCAGCGTCTCAGTATAAACAGGGCCTAAGACGAGGAAGCTTCAGGTTAGCTCCGCCGCTTGTTGTGCTAACTCAGCTGTCTGTGCTAACGGACCTGTAGATTTCTCACGAAAGTGGGGGCCAGTGGTTCGCTGTGATTGGTCACAATCTGTGACCCGAAACACATTCTCCTCCTTGTTTCATCAAAACTCGATCTAAAATATTATGTTACGCCAGCACAAATCTGCACTACTTTTTCTTCAAAAGGACGTATATCCCAATGCACTACACGGACATGGATAGCATTTTAGTAATTAATACAAAAATAAAGTCAGTTAGTGCAGCTTTAAAGATTGGTTACACGTTACATTATTCACATCTGACCCACACAGAGACCGAGCCAGTGTACAGCAGGTCTAAAACAAGTCTAAAGAAGAACTAAAGCTGAACTAAATCTGTTCTAAAGCAGGACTATAGCAGGACTAAAGCTGGACTAAAGGTGGTCTAAAGCAGGACTAAATCAGGTCTAAAGCAGGGGGAGAAGAAGGACTAAAGCAAGAGCAGATCTAAAACAGAACTAAAGAGGGACTAAGGCAGGTCTAAGGAAAGTCTTATGCAAGTCTAATGCTGGACATTAGTAAAGCAGGACTAAAGCAGAAAACTTGATTTTCTTTTTTTGTGGTCCGACTGATGGAAATTCTGTGTGTTAGTGTGAGTTCTTTTGTGAGTTTGTGTGTGTGTACGCGTGTGTGTTTCAGTGTGTGTGTGTGTGTGTGTACTGTATATGTATGAGTGGGGGGTCAGAGTAAAGCGATCCATGTAATCTGAGCACTAAATAAAACAGCTCTGTCTTCACCCAGAAACTCTACCTCACACACACGCACTCACACACACGCACACACACACACGCGCACACACACTCATGTACACACACACACACACACAGACTCACACACACACACACATAGATATACACAGACACACACAGTTACATACACACGCCAGTCCTCTACACTCACTTAGACTCACTTCAAGGAGACAAGTAACGTAACCCTGAGACAGAACCGGTCTCAGACCCAACCTCAGACCAGACTCAGATCCGACTCAGATCCAGCCTCAGACCCAACCTCAGACCCAGCTACAGACCAGACTCAGACCTGACTCCAGACCTGACCTAAGCCCCAGCTTCAGACCAGACTCAGACCTGACTTCAGACTTGACCTAAGACCCAACCTCAGACAAGGCCTCAAAACCGGCCTCAGAACTGGACTCAGACCGGCTGGAATCCAGACCTGGTGACGTGTATTGAGTGTAATGTGTTTGTGGAATGTCCAGAGTAATGCTGCAAATGGACTGCTATTGATCGGCCATTTTCTACTCATGACTTTACATCACAGAGAACCCAGCCGTGAAGAGGAGGGGGTCTATAAGAACAGCAGCCATCCACACATAAAGTGCCCCCTTGAACCTTTCAACATTTTGCCACATTTCAGGCTTCAAACATAAAGATATAAAAATAATTTTTTTGTCAAGAATCAACAACAAGTGGGACACAATCGTGAAGTAGAAATTTATTGGATAATTTAAAGTATTTTAACAAATAAAAAACTGAAAAGTGGGGCATGCAATATTATTCGGCCCCCTTGCGCTAATACTTTGTAGCGCCACCTTTTGCTGCAATTACAGCTGCAAGTCGCTTGGGGTATGTCTCTATCAGTTTTGCACATCGAGAGACTGGAATTCTTGCCCATTCTTCCTTGCAAAACAGCTCGAGCTCAGTGAGGTTGGTTGGAGAGCGTTTGTGAACAGCAGTCTTCAGCTCTTTCCACAGATTCTCGATTGGATTCAGGTCTGGACTTTGACTTGGCCATTCTAACACCTGGATACGTCTATTTGTGAACCATTCCATTGTAGATTTGGCTTTATGTTTTGGATCATTGTCCTGTTGGAAGATAAATCTCCGTCCCAGTCTCAGGTCAGGTTTTCTTCTAGAATGGTCCTGTATTTGGCTCCATCCATCTTCCCATCAATTTTAGCCATCTTCCCTGTCCCTGCTGAAGAAAAGCAGGCCCAAACCATGATGCTGCCACCACCATGTTTGACAGTGGGGATGGTGTGTTCAGGGTGATGAGCTGTGTTGCTTTTACGCCAAACATATCGTTTTGCATTGTGGCCAAAAAGTTCGATTTTGGTTTCATCTGACCAGAGCACCTTCTTCCACATGTTTGGTGTCTCTCCCAGGTGGCTTGTGGCAAACTTTAAACGAGACTTTTTATGGATATCTTTGAGAAATGGCTTTCTTCTTGCCACTCTTCCATAAAGGCCAGATTTGTGCAGTGCACAACTGATTGTTGTCCTATGGACAGACTCTCCCACCTCAGCTGTAGTTATCTGCAGTTCATCCAGAGTGATCATGGGCCTCTTGGATGCATCTCTGATCAGTCTTCTCCTTGTTTGAGATGAAAGTTTGGAGGGACGGCCAGGTCTTGGTAACCTTGCCTGCAAGCTGAATTCTCGCGGTATTTGTGAGTTCACAAACACTCGAGAATACATCTTGTACCGCTCCCGCTTACACTTTTCGAGTCGAACCACTGGGTGTGCGAGCCAATCACGCGCCAGTCTGGGGGTTTAGGGCGGGATATCCGGGTTTGACGAAAGCAAGAAGTGCCGGGCCGAAGCAAAACAAACATGGCTACGCAGGAGGACGGACGCAAAGTCAGTTTTAGCAGAATCTCCAATTTCTTTTTTGAAAGATGAACAGCGAGAGGCGCTTTGTGCATTTCTGGACGGCAACCTTGGTAGGCGGGCACACAGCGTCACTTCGCCCAATCAGCTTCAAGTATTCTGCTGCTTACCCCTCCTTTCCCCGAAAGGATTCTCCGGGAGAAATCCCAGATTGATATCGCGGAGAACGCGTTAGAGTTCTACACAATCATCAATCTGGCTTTTGCCAGGTTAAGGTCTTGGTAGATTTGCAGTGGTCTGATACTCCTTCCATTTCAATACAACTGCTTGCACAGTGCTCCTTGAGATGCTTAAAGCTTGTGAAATCTTTTTGTATCCAAATCCGGCTTTAAACTTCTCCACAACAGTATCTCGGACCTGCCTGGTGTGTTCCTTTGTCTTCATGGTTCTCTCTGCGCTTTAAACAGAACCCTGAGACTATCAAAGAGCAGGTGCATTTATACGGAGACTTGATTACACACAGGTGCATTCTATTTATCATCATCAGTCATTTAGGACAACATTGGATCATTCAAAGATCCTCACTGAACTTCTGGAGTGAGTTTGCTGCACTGAAAGTAAAGGGGCCAAATAATATTGCACGCCCCACTTTTCAGTTTTTTATTGGTTAAAAAAGTTTAAATGATCCAATAAATTTTGTTCCACTTCACGATTGTGTCCCACTTGTTGTTGATTCATGACAAAAAATGAAAATTTTATATCTTTATGTTTGAAGCCTGAAATGTGGCGATATGTTGAAAGGTTCAAGGGTACCGCTCATTTTTTATATACTGTATTTTAAAGCTGGGGTATGTAACCTTTAAAGGAAGGTTCAATAGAACAATTATACCAGAACCCATACCAAACCCTAACCCTGCTTCAGACCTTTTTTAGGCCTTTTTTTAGACCTGTTTCAGACCTGCTTTAGACCTGCTTCAGACCGGTCTAAGATCGGCTTTAGACCTGCTTCAAACCTTTTTTAGGCCTGTTTTGGACCTGTTTAAGATTTGCTTAGGTGTTACTCACCACCAGGTTGCCGATCACCATGACCAGCATGAACACCAGGATGCAGAGTGGTTGTCCTGCCACTTCCATACAGTCCCACATGGTCTCGATCCACTCTCCACAGAGAACACGAAACACAATGAGGAACGAGTGGAAGAAGTCCTTCATGTGCCAGCGCGGCAACAGGCAGTCCTTGGAGATCTTACACACGCAGTCCTGTAGAGGGCAACAGAGAGAGGGGATGACACCCTAGAGGAGTGGACTGAGCGAATGTGACATCACTATAGTGTGAGCCTTAATGAAGATGAAGCTGAGACAATTTCCTTATATGGAAAAATTGTCTGCGCTAGATTATTAAATATATTAACGTTTAGTAATTGAGACCTACACAATACGAATTGGCATACACAGTCCTACAGTGAGAATGCTATAGACTGTATATAGATAGATAATGCTAAGCCGCTAGCGCAATGAAGCCCTATAGGAAAGTGCTCATGGTAAAGTTTGGCTTCAACTCGCTCTGTCTCCTATTAACTTACATGTAAAAATTCACTCCTCCAGCTCAGTAACCGTTTGTGTTACACTCACCATTTTGATATTGTCTTAAAAATTCAGATATGCTATACAAGGGTTGACCAATGAGATGTCTTCATTTATGGTGGAAACTCCAGCTTGCCTTAGCAACCGTAATAGCAACATTCCCCTGTCACAAAGCAAAGCTATCGCCACGGAACAAATCCGCTAATAAGGAAATTGGCTCCAGCTAGCTTATGTTCAAATCGGCTTCTTCCGCTTTAAGGCTAACGCTATAGTGATGTCACACTCGGTTAGTCCTGCAGTTGTTTCTTACCTGGTAATTTTTCCCAAACAGCTGCATCCCAACCACAGCAAAGATGAAGACGATGATGGCAAGGACCAGGGTCAGGTTTCCCAGGGCGCCCATGGAGTTTCCAATGATCTTAATGAGAGTGTTAAGAGTGGGCCAAGAGCGCGCTAGTTTGAATACACGCAACTGTGGACGACAAAACACAAGGAGTTTCAACAACACATAAGCCCAAACCCAGTCGAAGCAACAGTCCTCCTGCGGTTCTGTGACAGTTACGTGGCTCTCTGTATAATTTGAGGTGTGGCCAGTTGCTTTTGGAGCTACATTTTGTGGAATTTGGTGATTGAACTGAGCGGTTAATCGAGAGCTTTGCCTTTTGACTCAGTGCTGGTCTTGTCTGGCCTTGGTCTGGTGTGGTCCTCATTCTCACCAGCCTGAAAGCCCTCAACACACTCAGTCCTAGCTTTGGCCTTGTCTTAGTCTGTTCTTGGTCTAGGTTGTTTTCCTGGCCTTGTCTTGGAATCACCAACCGGAAGGACCTGTGAATCGTCCCTCCACGTGCAGCTCCATGAGGATTAGACACTCAGTACTGGTCTTGATTTTTGTCCTGGTCTTGGTGTGATCTTGGCCTAGTCTGGTCTTGGACTTGGTCTGGCCTTGGACTCACCAGCCTGAAGGACCGGAGCACACTCAGTCCCTCCACGTCCGACAGTCCCAGCTCCATGAGGCTCAGACAGACAATGATGCTGTCGAAGATGTTCCATCCGGTTTGAAAGTAGAAGTACGGATCCAATGCAATGATCTTCAGGACCATCTCCATCGTGAAGATCCCAGAGAAGACCTGAGAAAGACCAGAACCATTTGAGATCAGAACCAGGTGAAAGGACCCCTGAACAAGGTATGAGACCAAAACCAGCTGAGAGGATACCACAGAGGGGCCGGAGAGGGGCCGGAGAGAGACCGGAGAGAGAGAGGGAGACCAGAGAGAGAGGTCAGAAAGAGACCAGAGAGAGACCAGAGGAAAAGTAAAATATTGGCCGCAAACGCAGAGATGTGATTGTAAAGAACATCATTTCACCTGAGAAAGCACCGAAAATAATACTTTTGTATTAAATGAGTGTGATGTCAGCAAGTGGTACAATGATACATACTGTACTATCACAAGAATGAGACAGTAGCTTTTAGACAAAAGGGGCAGAGCTACACGTTTGTGCCAAAAGTTTCTAATATTAGCATGGATGGATCTAAAAACAACTCCAGGTCTGTGACTTATGAGGACCATGTTGGAACATTCAATTTTCAGTATGTATCCTTTAAAGTCTTTTCTATGATGGAGTCATGTATGTGCAGTTCTCTGTAATACTGAGCAGATGTGACATGTTCTGGACTTGGACTAGGACTGGCTCTGGGTCAGGCACAGGCCAGGCTGCAGTGCACTGTGGGAGTTGATCTGGAGGACGCCGCCGCAAACGCTTGCGCTTCATTAAGAACTCCCTCTGCAGCAGTTTATAACAAGAACGACTGGAAACAGCTGTTTAAAGAGAGCGTTAGTGCTGCTTTACTCAAGCTTTAGTTTTGTTTAGTCCTTCTTTAGTCCTTGTTTAGTCTTTAGCTTTTGACCTGCTTTAGTCTTGCTTTAGACCAGCTTCAGACCTGTTTATTTTTTATTTATTTTTTAGTCCTGCTTTGGATCTGCTTTAAGAGTTGCAAAAAGGTGGAACATTTCTGGTAAATTTCCATGGGAAGTTGAGCTGTGGAATTTTGGGAATATCCCATTTTGGAAACTTACTTGGGAATTAATTGTAATAAATCATATCCAAGAAGAACCACAAACTACATGTAAAATGTTTTTTAACAGATATTTCCACATTGTTACGTAGAACAGAACAAGTTTTAATTATTTTGTTTCATGAACAAAAACAGGAAGTGGAATGAGCTTCCAAACTGCTTGCAGTGGGTACAAAAACAGCCACATGAGGAAGCTAGCATCTGCCTTATGTGGTAAATTAGGTAATGCTAGTTTATTCAGAATCTCACTTGCTGTATTTACAATTTCAACATTTCATAATTATATTTTCCCATAATATCATGAAAACTATTAAGTCCATGTGTCAAATTTGTGCCTTCAATAGTCCTAACCTTTGGTCCAGTGTTCTAGAAATCTTCAATCAGTGATGGGAATAACAGCGTTACTTTTTTCAGAAACGAGTAATCTAACTAATTACTTTGACTGTAACTATAACGGCGTTATCATTTCCGACATCCCGTTACTGCGCGTTACTCAAGACGCACGATTAACTTCTTTTTACTTCGTGATAGGACTCGTGCGCGTGTTGTCATGAGAGAAGGGAGGATGACAAAACCTCTCCGCAATTATTGGCTGATGTAAAACATATTTCCTTTACAATCTACATGTCTACAGTTGAGAGGATGGCTCATAAATTGTGTTTTTGAAACAAATATGGGTCTTAATTGCGCTCAACCACGGCTTGTATCACCGTGAGGCCGGCCTCAGAGGAGCGCATGTGAGCGCAGAAGTCGGCTGCATACAATTCCATCGATAAGCTCCTTTCTCTTCCTGGTTTATCTGCTAAGGACAGCAACAGGTTTGGCTAACATACATATAACACATTTTAAAATAATTTAAAATGCACCTAGGGTAATTTTTCAATGACTATAGGAATGATAAGAAAGAGAGGTGAAGTGTAAGACGGTTGATTTTAGAAATTGGATGCACCCGGCTGCAGCTAGCAAAACAGAGGAGGATTACATATCTACGCTCAAACTATTATCTGGACTTAAACCCGGAACTGGTCTGAACTGAAGTCGACTCTGCAGGTCATTTATAAGGTAAGACCCATAACTCATAGTTTTGCGTTTAGTATGAACAAACAATGCGGGCATGAAACATATTTTGCTGTAGCCAAACAAATTGTCCACTTGATTTATATGATATATATGTTCATCTGATTGGACTGAAGTCAGTGCTTCACCGGTGTTTCCACATTCACAGTGGCGGGTGTTTATGTTTAGTGCTTACAGCACAGAGAGAGATGGAGAGTGAACAGGACTTCAGCAGCAAAACAGACTTTTCTAGATGGAAATATCAGCACTATTTCAGACTCACTGAGGTTAAAGGTAAAAATGTGCACGTCGAGTGCACATTATGTTCCAGAACAAAACAAAAAAGTAATGCAATAGTTACTTTTACTGGTAACTAGTTACTTTTATAGTGGAGTAACTCAGTTAGTAACTCAGTTACTTTTTGGGAGAAGTAACTAGTAACTATAACTAATTACTTTTTTCAAAGTAACGTGCCCAACACTGTCTTCAATTCATGTGATGGCATCCACAGTGCCAGTAGGGGGCGTGGTCTCAGTGGCAGTGTGCTACGTATTTGGCATCTGTTAGTTTTATTCAAGATTCTGCTAAAATATACTTTCCCTTAGTCCTGCTTTAGACCTTTAGACATATACAGAAGTTTGAGTTTACTTTAACACAACTACCAGTCTGTTTTTTTGGATTCTGTCTCGGTTATAGATCCATGGTCTCGGCTGAAGCTTCTGGTCAAGAGCTGTGCTTCTCAAACTGTAGTCCTGAGTCTGTTGTGTCCTGGGGTAGAGAATTATTCACTCTTTCCTTGTATGGAGCTCCTGGAGGGGATTCTGGGAGCTGATTGGTGGATGTATGCTAATGTGTGCACTAACGGCTAATGCTAACACTCACCTGAAGAGACAGGTGTCACCCTGCATTAGACCTGAGCCAGTCCTGATCCAGACCCAGAGACCGGACCCTGACCTGTTCCAGACCCAGAGACTGGACTCAGACCTGTTCTCAGGAAAGGTGCCAAAATCAAAGATGGCAACAACCTAGCAACCAAACTAGAGCCAATCCGCAGCAGCGCTGGAGTTTTCCTCACGCTACTTCCAATGGTCAGAACGCTGTGGAATTTGTTTGTCATGGGGGGAGTTTAGACTTGGTTTAGCCCTGGTTTGTAATCCGGCTTGAGACCTCATTAACAGAAACAGTAAACATACTGCTGCTAATGTACAGATGCTAACATATAACTACACTTTGCTTGCACTAGAATACACAGTAATTTATACTTGCCTCTTATTGCCAAATTTTAAACTTTTACACCACTTTTACGATTATTTTCAAGATAGAGATTTTATACTTGTTATTTGATGCTAGAGTTAGAGTTTTTGTTTTATTTTATTGTTCGCTTAACTTGTGCCGTGTGCTTCTCTTTCCTACTGTTCTATAACTTGTGATGCAACACTGACATTTCCCCACTGTGGGACAAATAAAGGATCTCTTAATCTTAATCATTCAAACTTGGTTCAGACCTAGGCTAGGACAGGAGCTGATATGGCAAGTCGCGTGACGTCGCGAGTCGCTTCTGAGGAAGACGGAAGTATACCATCAAAACATACAGTATTATTCAGATCAGAATCCAAATCAGAATAATTTTTATTGCCACGTAAGTAACAGGAAGTCACAGACTTGGAAATTGTTTTGGCTCAGTGCAACAGTCAGAGAGAGAGGTAAAGAATCGAGAAGGCACAATTCATAATATATTAACATATAATGACACTAATATTAACTTACAAGTGTCTGGTATAGAAGAACCAAATAACCATATTTCTTACTTCAAATACCTTGGACTCACACTATTTGAAGTAAGTAAACACCTACATCTGTTTTGGCTCGTGCACAAAAGTTTGGCATACCCAAATGTCTTTGCTTATTTAAAAACACATCTTACATCTCACATGCTTGTGTGATGCATTATTTTAAAGCTAGGCCCTTCTAGTTCATGTAAATATACACTGAAATAATGTATGTCATTCCTATTTCACTCTGCATCCTTTGAAGTTTGGGAAAAAACCTGTTTTTTTTAGCCTCGCCTAAAAAATTCAATTTATAAATGCCCTAAAAAAGCCTACTTAATTGGAAGAAGAACATTTTCAACACCAATTTGTTCATTGTGTTGTTGACAACAACTGTGTAACGTTTCAGACTTCTAAGTTTTATAGTTTTTATCAAGTAGTGCCATTCGGAACCATTTTGGCAAAATGTGTGCCAAATTGTGCGAAACTGCTTTACTAACATTTCACCATCATAAAAAGTATATTTTTTAGTTTTGGTACTTATAAGTTACAAATCTGTGTGATTTTCTTTTACATTTTTTCAAAATTATTTTTTTAGTAGTGTAAATGCATATAAAATATGCGCAGCAGTACTAACAGCGTCTTTACGCACGCTTTTACTGTGAAAATGAGAAGAGTTCCTACAAGTCCCACCCATCAAAAGGAAGCTCTTTTTCAGTGCTAGCACTTTCAGGCACAAGCACTGCGCTAGCCTCTAATCAACAACAAGGCAAAAACAAACCCTCTGCAAGTGGATGTGGTTCGTCTTTTTCACAAGGGTCCTGCGGACTGAAACCTGCTCCTATCTTTTCATGGAACCTCTCTTTTTGAAGCTAAGGACTCAAGGAACACGTAGATATGATGTTCAAACTTGGTGAAATGTGAAAGAGAAGCCTGAACATTTTTTTTGGAGCGTTTTTTTTGCAACAGAAAAATGCACATTTTTTGATTATTTCTGAAGAATGGATTATACTTTGGGAAATACAAGTGGATATTCTTTTTCAATGAAGACTTACGGAGAGAAAAAGACTAAGCAAGGATGGGGAAAGTCTAATTTGTTGGAGCAGCAGAAGACGAAAGGTAAGAAACTTTCTTTTTAGAGTCTTTTTAAGTCTGATATCGTTTACACTTGCATATAAATATAGCTGAGAAAATAAGCTTTAAAATGATATATAGCTTGTGGCTTATGAAGTTCAAAATACATCTGCTATTGCCAGCAGATTTTTTTTTCTCGAATTGCGAGCTTAAGAGGTAGCCCACTTTTGAACATGTCACATATTTATTAGGGCTATCAAAATGATCGCGTAAACACACAAAAATTGAATTTGTTCATCAATCGTGTTTAAAAAATTAACGCATTTGACGCATGTGCCGAATGACCCGCCCATGCATCATGCTCATGTGGCGAATTCAAGTTTAAAAAGAATACAGACAGAACAATGGACAAACAGATAGTGGTTTGCACTCATTGCGAGAAGAAGTAGAAGTACCATCTACAGGCTAATCATGCATTTGCAGGGCTTCTAGTTCCGGTGCTCAACCTGGTTTGCTGCGGACCACGTTAACGAACGCAGGCCAATGAGCAAACTCACCACGGAGAAATTAAAGGAGCTATACGCGTTTCTGTAAGGTTTTTTTCAGTTTGAATGTTTTGCACTGCCCCGCAACTCGCTCACAGGCTTCTCATTTTGAGAAACCCTCCTACTCTCCCCTACGCTCTCCTTCCACTGAGCCATCTAGTTTTATTTCAATCTGATAGGTATTAGTTAGCATTAGCACAACTTGATATAAGCTGTACAGCAATCATGCTGATGATTGCTGCAGCAATCATGCTAAAGTACAATAACTGAAAGATTATCACGTCCAAAGTTAGTCCGAGGCGGTCCCGCTCCCGCAGGTCGCTCCAGAGAATACAATGTAAGAGACCTACGATGATAATTTTTTTGCTTTAGTTCCCTCTTCTTCTCCTCACTTTGCGTCTTTTGGGCTGTTTTACTGTGTCTGCAGTTACAGCCATACTGTACTGTACTGTAACCAAACTGTAAAGCACTTTGTGTTGCATCTTTTGTATGAAAAGCGCTTTATAAATAAAATTTGATTGATTGATTGATCACTTTGTCTGATGCCGATAGTAGAAGAAATTATGAACATCAGCTGATACCAATATGTTTGATGATATATTTTGCATCTTTAACGTCAATCATCCAATCTATCCTCCTCTACTCCTTCCCCATTACTTCAACATGCTCTCCATCACCATCAAAAAATAAACTGACTCACTTCCTGTATTGCATGTTTATTTTGTGTATCTCGTGTGTATTGTTATTTCTTTCTTCTGTGTTTTATGTATGTGACAGTGTTGAGGAAATGAATTTCCCACGGGAGACAGTGAAGGTCTATTAATCTATCTTTAGACCGGTTTGCTTTAAACCTCCTTTAGTTCCACATTAGTCCTGCTTCAGCCCTGATTTAGACCTGGTTTATCCCTGCTTTAGACCTGCTCTAGCCCTAGTGTAGACCATGCTCAACCCTGGTCCTCACCAGGTTCCCGATGGTCAGCATGCTGTTGAACTCGTCAGTCATGGGGTAGTGCTCCATGGCCATGAAGAGCGTATTGAGGACGATGCAAACCGTAATCCCCAGGTCCAGGAACGGGTCCATCACCATCACGTTCACTGACGCTTTGAGCCGCAGCCAGCGGGGGGTGCAATCCCAAACCAGGACACGCTCTGCCAGGACGTACCAGCAGGGGGGGCAGCGGTGGCCGTGTGTCTCCTCTAGCTCTGCAGTGCAAACAAGAATACACATATAACCAATGGAGAGAATAGAGAGAAAGACCAGAGACAGAGACCAGAGAAAGAGAAACCAGAGAGAAACCCCAGAGAGAGACCCCAAAGAGAAAGACCAGAGAGGGACCAGAGAGAGATAGATCAGAGAGAGAGACCAGAGAGATACAGACCAGAGAGAGAGACCAGACAAAGATCAGAGAGAGATAGATCAGAGGGAGACCAGAGAGAGACAAGAGAAAGACCAAAGAGAGACCAGAGAGGAACCAGAGTGAGACTAGAGAGAGACCAGAGAACATCAGTCCGGTTTGATGTATCCCATATTCTACTGCTTTGGAAACATCCTCAGCGTTACAGTAATGTTGTGACCTTAAAGTGACTTGTAAGGTTCTTACCATCCATGGCGTCCGTGAGGCAGCTGTTGGCACTCAGGCTCCGCCCCCTCCTCTCTGAGCTATGATTGGATGAGGGCCGAGGCAGCAGCACTGTGCTGAGCTCGGTGGACGACGTGGGAACCTGGAAGAGAAAGAGACTTTCACTACAGATCATAACTGCAGCTGGTACATTCGCCTCAGCGACCTCAGTTATGAGGACAATATTGAGATTTACTCAAAATGCATAATACTGAGGCACAGGGGGCGCTGTGGAGCTGTGGACCCAGAAGCACAGGCATCTGCTTCAAGGAAGTCAGATATACTGTGGTGTGCTGAGTCCGCCTCACATCCTCCTCCCTGCTCTCTCTCTCTGATCCCTCTCCGGTGTCTGGGCACCTGGTCACCCTCACCCCCTACAGATGTTACATAAGCTCCGCCCACAGGAAAACAGCACCAGACAAGTAGCTTGAGACTTAATAGACTTTTCTAGAAGTGGTGACAATATTCAAAAACATAAGCATCATGTTGTGTAGTAGGGGCTTTGCAAATATCAAATAATGATCTGGGAAAACAACAACTCATTACTACTACTGCTACTGCTACTACTACTACGACTACTACTAAACCACTTATGAAGTTGTGTAAATAAAGTTGTGTGCAGCACACTCACACTCTCCTCATTAAGTTTCTCCATGGCACATGATGGGACTCCCCCAGGCCCCCCTCCAGAGACCAGACCCGGGACTAGCCCAGGCAGAGGGGGGGAGCACAGGCCGTTTTCCACCCCCAGCAGCAGGCGGCCATTCACATTCAGAGTGGGGTAGAAAACCTGGAGACATAGTTCAGGGTTAAACTAAGACAAACGTTATAAACTCTTCATGAAGCTGCAGGGGATAACCCTCACATCTTACCAAACTGACCACTGTCAGACTGTACAATGAGAATTGCTGAGTCTGTATAGATGCCATTCCCCTGTTCTGATAATCCACAAGTCACTTTACTAGTCGCTAGCCACTTTACCTGCTATATTATTACTACGTTATTCTATCTTCACCTGCGGACTGCCCTGCCTGACCCGCCTAGGAGTGCTTCAGTCCTGCACCGGACCTGTCCACGTTCAGCAGCCGCTGGTCCACGTTCTGTAGCTAGCTTAGGTCCTGGATCATTAGCCTGTCCGTCCGAAGGAGCGGATCCCTTTCTCATATGGGTCTCCCTCCCTGTGGGTTTCCCTAGTTCTCCCCAAGGTTTCTCACTTTTTCCCACTGGGTTTTTTAAGAGTTTTTCCTTGCCGATGCAGGAGGGTCTTGTTGGACAGTTAGTGTCCAACAGAAAGGTTTGGTGATGATCAGGACACTTTAGCATTCTACAACATGTATGGACATTTTCTTCTGTGTGTGCTTTATATTCTTCATGTGTTTTAACTGTTGATTCTCTGATCTGTGTTGGTGACTTCAATGATTTTGTTAAGTCCTCTGAGATGACTTCTGTTGTGACCTAGGGCTATACAAGAATATATTGTATTGTATTGTAAATTGCGTATATTCCATTCATCTGATATTTCTGATAATCCAGTAGTCCTGTTGCTATTATTACTATTGTTTATTCTGGTCATATTATCTGCTGCTGAAGTACAGTATAATCATCTGTAAAGTGTACTTATCCTTAAACCAGGTGCAATTATAGCTGCATGGATTTATTTCCATATCTTATTATTTTATTAACTGATATCTTAAATAATTTATCCTGTTATGTGTGAAACATGAGTGCTCTTATTTCCTTATTTTATTCTGCTGTTATGTGCGCAATGATGAAATTTCCCTACTGTGGTCCGAAAAAAGGTTTATCTTATCTTATCTTAAAACAAGTGTCCAGTGGATTCAGTTAGCCCTAACAGATCACAATCAGCATGTTACAATGGGTGTACCGCAAGGTTCGTTTCTGGGTCCCTTACTCTTCTCTCTGTACATGTGACCTGCCGACCCGACCTGTCGTGCGTATGGTTCTGTTCAGAAGTATGAAGGTGACGGTCATAAACCCGCACAGCAAGAAGATCTCACAGGTTACAGACTCCCTCAGACCCACTGATGCACTGGTGCTGACCCCAAACCCTGCAGCTACAGACCTCACCACCCACTGTCTCCACTGCTATACTCCAGCAGGAGAGATGGGCATGTGCCAAAACCACCAGTTTGTACAATAAACGTCCTCCTTTGTGAAAAAGAGTTCAGAGCAGAGGAGGTGGAATTTGGCTGTTATCTGGCGCCAAATAACATGCATCAGAATCAGAATCAGAATCCTTTTTTTGCCATGTGAGTCACAAACTAGGAAATTGCTTTGGCTCTTGGTGCAAACAAGTTAAATCAGAATAAAAATAAGAAGGCATGCATTAATAAAAATCTACATACATTTCTTCAGTTTACTATATACAAGTGCATTCCTCTATGTTGGCACGTGTTTGTGTGATGTTTCATTTGTGTGATGTTTGGTTTGTGTGATGTTTTGGTGGTGATTCTCTGACATTGTACCTGAGAGTTGCGGCTTTGCGTGCTGAAGGTACTGGTGCGCCTCCACACTGGTGCGTGGTACTGGCCGCCGGTGTACGCACTCGGGCTGTAGACGCCGGTGGAAGTGAACCGCGAGGGCGCCACTTCCAAGACGTCTCCAGGAACGCTGAATTCGTCATCTGCCATGTCGCACTCGGAATCCCGCCCCCGCTCGCCTTCAGAGCCCCGCCCTCTCAGCACGAAGTTAAAGATGGACGAGACGTTAGAACAGCGGCGCGAGGAGAACGAGCGCGACAGGAGGGAATGGAGCGGCTGCAAGGAGAGCAAAGAGTAGAGATGATACTATTGCTAATGAAAAACCTATTGATAATACTACTGTTAATTTGGCTAATACTAATACAAGAAAGATCAGAGAGAGCGACTGAAGAGAGACCAGGACCGTAGAGTGGATCAGGTGATCCATATCACAACATGAAACCATCAACATCTCGCCTTAAATTGCATTAAAAGTGACATTCATGTCTTTTTGTGTTTGTATTCAAACTTTGTACACAATTCACAGACTTTATGTCCGCCATCTTGGTTTGCGTCCGCTGCCGTAAAATGCGCATTACATCATGAACAGCAACTCGATAGAACACCGGTACTGCGCACCTGCATGTACCAGCCCACTTAAAGCACTGTCCTGATTGTTATAAATATATGCGTTTGGACCATAGACTGTATATATTAACGGACGTAGTCCCGCCTATCTCCGCCGTTCTAACTAATGGGCGAGCTCCATTTATTTAAACGAGTGACTTAAAAAATTCACAGCGAGTAAACTAGAGTGGTCCAAAAAAATTCACTCCCCTCAGCATTGACACACATGTGGAACGGAGCTTTGGGCCAAGAGCCAACTTTTGGACCATCCTGTAAAGGTGTCTTTGAGAGGTAAGAAGATGCTATATGTTATCATTGGATAATTCTTATTTCGGGTCCACCCCCATCGGCCCGGGGTGGTATTGCAAGCATGTCAGCGCATGTCATTTTGGCCACTTTTGAGCCGGGACCCGCCCCCACTGGTTTGGACGTCTATATGACACACCTTTGAGTCTGTGAGCAGCCTCTCCTCTGATAAGTTGGCTTCCAGGTTGGCCACGCCCACCAGCGCTTGGCTCCGCCTCCGCTCCTCCGCTGTAGGGTCAGGGGTCAGCGGAGGAGCGAAAGGTGAAACGTCACGAGACATCACCGAGTCGGAGTCCAGGGCTTTCTGGGCCGCGGCCTGGAACCACGAGAGAGGAAACGTGGGTTAGGACAGAAAAAGTGGTGAAAGAATCAACAAAAGTAATAGCGATTGCAGTATTAGCAGTAACAGTACTTGTGGTAGTAGCAGTTGCAGCAGTAGTAATAGTAGTAGTAAAAGCAGCAGTAGTAGTCATAGCAGCAGTTGTAGTAGCAGTATTAATAGTAGCAGTATCAGTACTAGTGGTAGTAGGAGTAGCAGTAGCAGCAGCAGTAGCAGTGTCATTTCTTACCTGCTCCTGTTTGAGCCGCTCCATCGCCTCTTGAAACTCGCGCTCCTTCTGATTGGCTTCCAAGATGGTGGCTTGATTCTGCTCCTCGTACGCCATGGCAACGACCGCAAGGATCAGGTTTACCAGGTAGAACGAGCCCAGGAAGATGACCACCACAAAGAAGACCATGTAGGTTTTACCGGCTGAGCGCAGCGTCTGTGGCAGCGACAACCTTTGTGTTAGACCAGAGAGAGAACAGAGACCACAGAAATAGAGAGACCAGAGAGAGAGACCAGAAAGAAACCAGAGAAAGAACAGAGAGACCTAAAAGAGAGACCATAGAGAGCAAAGACAATAGTTTTTGCACTCACTTGATGATAGAGGTTTTCCCAGTAGTCTTGTGTCATGAGGCGAAACAGCGACAGGAACGCCCACCCGAACGTATCGAAGCTTGTGTAGCCGTAGTTTGGGTTTCTCCCGGCTTTCAGACACACAAATCCATCCGGACATCTCCTGCAAAAAGATACACAAGATAAATCATATCATCTGAGTACAAAAGCGCCAACAGTTAATTATTACACACTTTTGGTCCATATTGAAAACAGTGTTAGAAGTATTGCCTCAGTAATAAAGAGCCACACACAGTTGTAATGACAAAGCAGCTGTATTGGATTCATGATGACCAACAATGGTCACCTTTTACATATATACACAGAGCATTAAGTATACATGTACATCCTTTTGCAATTTTAAAAGGATGTCAACCGTACAACAGTTTATATTAAACATAAAAAGAAAAAACAGCACAAGTGTTATGTTTAAAACTTGTCGTAGTTACGGCTGCAACAAATATCAATACATTATGCTCTTTGACAACAACACAATGACACATGTTCTCTATTCAACTATTTATTAAGATAAAATAATAATTGTATATGAAAAAAATGTTTTAATCATCAACACTACTACTCACATAAACATAGAGTTTGTTGTCTCCAAGTTTCTGCTACAAAGAAAAGAGTAAAGAGTCCTGGACAGAACTGTGTCTCCGAGAGCAGCCCTCGCTCTATAGTTCATCTGAACACATACACAATACTGTGAGCGGGACTGTGCCACCACCGGGGTCTAGGCCTTGGGACCTACAGATTAATCACATTTCATGTGCCACACCAGGTACCACAGTGGGGCGGCTGCAAAGTTCCAAACTGTCCTTGTGTCCTTTGGCAAGACACTTCACCCACATTTCATAGAATGAGTCTGGTGTGTGCAAGGATGGTTGGTGGTAGTGGGACATGGTTGGCTGTTTTTTGTCAGTGAGCCCCAGGGCAGCTGTGGCTTCAATAGTAGTTTATCTCCACTGTGTAAGGAATGACTGAATAAAAACATGTGAAGAGTGTCCAAAAATGCGCTATATAAAATGCAATATTATTACTAATTGTTGTGTGCAGCAGCAGTAAAAGTCATTCTTGAAGATAATGTCTGCGGAGTCTTAGATTAGACAGATTACTTACCAACCAATAAATACTATTCCAATTTCCCTTTTGTCTGTTTGAGATTCTCCAGATTGAATTTGCTGTCCTCCAAATATTTTTTAATATAACTGTACAGTATTTTGCATGAATGTTGCTTTATACATTACATTTTAGTTAAACTATATTATACTGCAAAGTACAGAAGTATTTACCTGTTAGTCTCATATGGGCTCTCCTTTCTCTGATACAGCAACAGCCCAACACACAGCTGGCTCCATTATCCTTAAGTTATTCTCTTTTTTGGTTATGAGTCAATAATTCAGTAATGATCCATCAATCCATCCATGTTCTACCCCTTAAAGATGCTATACCCGGTTTATTTTTTACTGAGTTCATAAAAATGCTTATTACTGCATACAAGTTGTATTATAATCCGTAATTTCATTGAAAACTTGAGCTTGTTGATTCAGCTGTGCATGAGTAGAAACGTAGCGTGACGCTCGCTCTCCTCCAATCACAGAACGAGGCTGCGTCCTCTAGCCTCTACAGCGCTGCTAAACACAGTAGCCTGTTTGCAGAATTAGCGATAACTCCTCTTGCTGTAACTGCAGACACAGCCAAACAGCCCAAACGACACAACAGTGAGGAAGAGAAGAGGGAACTAAAGCGAAAAAATGATCAAAGAAGAAATGAAGCCCGGGTGAGCATACATACATAGCTTACATCGTATCCTCTGGAGAGACTTGTCTATGGGAGAGACTTGTCTATGGGAGAGACTTGTCTATGGGAGAGACTTGTCTATGGGAGAGACTTGTCTATGGGAGAGACTTGTCTATGGGAGAGACTTGTCTATGGGAGAGACTTGTCTATGGGAGAGACTTGTCTATGGGAGAGACCTGCGGGACCGCCTCGGACTATCTATGCTCGGACAACATTCGGACTCGGAACTAGCGGTAATCTTTCAGTTATATATTTTGTTATCAGTGCTTTGCTTTTGTACCATTGCATCAGTGATTGTTGTACAGCTTAAGTTGCACTAATGCTAATGTTAGTATATAGATAACAATGCTTTTATAACGTAAATGTTTACCGGTATTGTGCTAGCCTGGCCTTAGCCATCTACACTCCGTTCAATCATCATTTCACTGCATGTAACGTCTGGGTCTAGTCCCTGTGTTAGCGATTACAATCGGTTGAATTTTGACCGACCATTCAGAGAGCGCGGAAGGCAGGTGTTGTAGTTAGTTGTGGGTGATGTCAAGAGTTTGCGTGGAACAGGCAGGTTGTAGTTTGGTAATGGCGAAAAATGCGATAGTAAAGTATTCCGGTCTGGTTCTATCAAGAAATTGAAGCCGGAGCAAGGGTAATGTTTAGCAAATGTAATCGCTGGAAAAATGTTTGGTGCTACTCCCCATGGCTCCGTTAGCGGCAAAGGAGATGGCTAGGCTAAATGCTAAATGCTAACGACAGACTCGGGCGCACTACATACGTCACGGTAAACTCAGATCCAATCGTTTCTGTAATCTGTAAAAGGAGTTAACCCCTCACACCTGTAAACGGAGCTCAACGGAGCACCTCCAGACCTTAGTATGAAATGTCATTTGTACTATGGAGTGGTACGACCAGGCTAGTATTGTGCGATCTTTGGGTCAAAATTACTTGCTTGTAAATCAGGGTCTAAATGACCCAGAGCTGGCCATGTTAGGATAAATCATCAAAATTCAGCAAAAAAAATATTTAGGGTTCCTTTTAACTACTGTGGCAGGTCAACCGAGGATAGCACAAGAGTTATAATAAAGTGCTAGAGCAAGCTAACAGCTAACACTAGGTTAGATTTGGAAATAACTGAACTTTTCAGACTCAGAAAATATGTTACACACCTTTTATCAGGTCTGTCTCCTGAAGCAGACTGAGGGGAAGTCTCATGGCTGCCAGGTGGAATGTGGCAGAGGTCAAAGCTGCAGCCCTAAAGTCCCAAACCCTTCTCTCTCTGGCCCAACAGTTACTCACAAACCCAACATATTTGTACACACTTTCTACTGTACAGACTCTTTAAATCAGTTCCTGGCTCTAAAACAGTTTGCTTCCATCGCTTATTTTCATATCAAGAGAGACCAAAGACTAGAGAGAGACTGGAAGGACCAGAGAGAGAGCGACCAGAAAGCGCCTAGAGAGAATGAATTACAGTTTCTCATCCTTGTGGAGCGATAGAGACACTTTCCAAAGTATTTTACAAGGAAAACTTTATAAAGGAAAGAGCAGCACGTGCAACAGCCCACACTCTGAGGTCAGAGCTTCACTCACACAAACACCATCATTATGTCAAGTATTGTCCCTTGTGTGTGTTTTAGAGCCTTCCTCCCCTGAGCCACATGTGAGCAGCGGCAGAAAAAACACTTTACTTTTATTGTGTCTAAATTACTGCTATATTTTTTCTCCCAAGTTGAGAGAAAGTGAAGTTTCTTGAGAAGAGGGGAAGTTTTTCTCTGGGGAATCACACCGACGACCAGACGCTGAGTCAGCAGTGACCGGTGACCACAGCCCCAGGCACAAGATGGACTTATGTAAGGAGCTTCAGACACACACACACACACACACATACGTGCACTTGCACATTTATGCACATGAACAGATACACACACGCACTCATCCTTATCTTCATCAGCAAAAGGAAAACTTGTCTTGTCTAAATGTGCCCATCCGTTGTAGAATGGCGCGCACCGAGCATGGATCTATATTAATATCTGGATAGGGTATTAGCTTTTAGCTGTCCCACCCATGGGAACAGGGGGCGCCGTGGCACTGCAGACTAAATTTACGTGGGCTACCCCTAAAAAAGTCCCATAGAACTCAATGTAAACTAAAACAGCTCGACCTCAGCTGACAGAGAACATAAAGCTTTCATAAAAATATTCAAATGAATGGCGTGTGCTCAGTTGCGCATGGGATTTCACGGGGACCGAAAGATTAGCGGAACTCGTCCATAACACTATCACCCAAAACAAATCAAATCCCAGAGTTTTATTCAAAGTTTTAAACTTTAAACCATTTTATCCAAAAGATAACAGATCCGATATCTGCTCCTATAAGCCATTGTTTTAAATAGAGAAACTCTGGATTTTAATTGTTTTACTAATTTCATGCCTTTATCCCTTTCTCTTTTATCTGACGTTTTATTCCGCATGAAACCAACCACGTGCAGCCTCGATGTCATCCCCACCAAGTTTCTCAAAGATGTTTTTAATGTGGTTGGACCCCCCATTTTATCAATCATCAATCAGTCCCTGGATCAAGGGTTTGTCCCATCCAGTTTTAAACATGCTGTGGTCCAGCCACTTTTAAAGAAGCCTAATTTAAGCACTACTGATTTTAACAATTTTAGACCCATTTCAAAACTCCCGTTTTTATCCAAGGTTTTAGAGAAAATTGTTTCTATTCAGATTTTAGATATTATTAAGGAGTGGAACGAATCTTTGAGAAATTCCAATCCGGTTTTAAAGCACAACACAGTACAGAGACAGCCCTTCTTAGAGTTTTAAATGACCTTCTTTTAACCTCAGACAGAGGAGAGTGCTCTATTTTAATTCTTTTAGATTTAAGCTCTACCTTTGACATAATCGATCACAATATTTTATTGGATCGCCTCAAAACGTGGGTGGGCATCAAAGATACTGCACTTGGTTGGTTTCATTCTTATCTTTTAGACAGAACCTTTGCGGTCACCATGGGTGATTTTACCTCCTCAACAGCCCCCATTACCTGTGGTGTGCCGCAAGGTTCTATTTTAGGTCCCATTTTATTCTCTATTTATATGCTCCCCCTAGGACACGTTATGGCCCGTCATAACGTGTCCTTCCACTGCTATGCGGACAACTCACAGATATACCTCCTGCTGAGACCAAACGACCCTGGAAGCCTGGCTGCTGTGGTCGACTGTTTTAATGATGTGAACCGTTGGATGGCCCACAACTTTTTATAGCTCAACACCTCCAAATCTGAAGTCCTCCTCATCAACCCGCCTCCATCCAAACCCTCCTCGGC